ATCAGAAATAGTTATGTCAATTTTCGGCCCATAGAATGCACCATCTCCTGGGTTTAATACCCAAGGTTCACCAAATGCGTCCAAACTATTAGCTAATTGCTTTTCAGCGTGTTCCCACATTTCTAATTCACCTAAATACTTTTCAGGTCTAGTAGATAAACGCAAATGGAATGTAAATCCGAATACTGTATATACATGACGTAAGAAATCTAATGCATTCATCATTTCTTCACCAATCTGATCTGTAGTACAAAATATATGAGCATCATCTTGTTGAAAACGTCGAACACGTGTTAATCCTGTTAATGCACCAGATAATTCATTACGGTGAAGGACACCAAAATCGGCCAATCTAAGTGGCAATTCTCTCCAGGATCTATTGCGATGATCAAATATTAAACAATGTCCAGGGCAATTCATTGGTTTTAAAGCATAAGTTTCTTTCTCTACATCAAATGAAAACATGTTTTCTGAATAATGTGCCCAATGACCGGATGTCTGCCATAGTTTGGTGTTAAAAATATTTGGGGAAACAACTTCTTGGAATCCACGTTTTCTATATTCACTCTTGATGAATTCAATCAAAGTATTGTAAATATAAGCTCCTTTTGGTTGGAAAAAACAAGACCCTGGACTTAATTCGTGGAAAAAGAATAATTCTTGTTCCTAAAAAAAAATATTAAATGAAGTATATACTTTTACAAATTATCAAAATTATAATAAAACAGACTCTTCCAATTTTACGATGATCTCTTTTAGCAGCTTCTTCCTGGAATTTTTCCCACTCTTTCATTTGTTTATTATCCGTAAATGATATGCCATAGATCCTCTGTAAAGTTTCTGCTTTTGCATTTCCTTCCCAGTATGTAGAAGAATTCTTTAAAAAATTTAAATTAAATAAAACTATTATCATCAAATTTTTACTTATATATTCAAAAAATTATTTATATTACTTTAATAACTTTAAAAGCCTTGACTTTGCCAGTATGACGAATATGTGGTCCCCTGCACAAGTCAATTAATGGTCCACAACGATAAATAGTAGTTTTTGGTGTTTGCACTTTTTCATTCAAGATCCTAATTTTAAATTCATTATACTAAAAATAAAAATATCTTAATTAATTACATTTTTAGAATATAAGTTAATTTTAATATTTTAGATAAATGAGATTAATTTGTCTTCTAAAAATCAATAACACTACCGAGTAGCATATAGTATAAATTATGATTATATTATATTATAAAATAAATTAACCTAATTCATTTTGTATTATACAAAACTTAATCGAAGAACTCACTGGCATTATATAATTGATTATTCATTATAGATTACATAATAATAAATTACATTCTCAAAGCATAAATCTTGGAAATTGTCTATTTAAAGTATATGTATAAATATTAAAAGTAATAAAAAACTTATTAAATTATGTTAGAATAACGGTTTTTTTTTTTTTTTTTTTTGTGAATGCTTCCAAGTGCCAAGTTTTACTCAAACAACATCAAAATAATAATAATATTTTAATTTATAATTATGAATTTATAAAGGTATAAATAAATCTTTGTAAATTATGTATTGTAACAATAATACATATTTATATTTGGTTAAAGTTAAAATAAATTAATATCTAATTTAAGAGATCTAGGTGTTAACCTAAGTCGCAATTCACACATAGAATAAAGATCATATCACTTAAATATTTGATTTAAATTTAACTATGGACAATTTAATAATCTATCAATTTACTTAAAAAATATATCATTGATAAATTATAGATATCTATTTATTTCACTATTTTAATTAAGAAATATAAAATAATTGTACATACTAATTACTTATTAATTACACATTAATCAATTTATTGATAGATAATAAGAGTTTTTTTAAATTATACCTTAAACATTTCCAGTAAATCCTCTTTGCTCACTTCAAGTCGTTCAAATGGTTGTTTTTCTTTGATAATAGTTTTAACAAGAGTTTCCATAACAGGAAAATCAAAGTTTGATACCTAATAAACATAGATTTTTACATGAATATGACACTTAGTTTTAACTATAAAAATATATATCTACATTAACTTATTATAATAACAATAAATTATTACTTGTTTATTTTGCAGAAACATATCATAGTAAAATCCTCCTTCAATTGGTGGTCCATAGCATAAACAACCTCCATAAATTCTTTCCATAGCCTCACCCAGTATATGGGCGGATGAATGCCAAAAAACTTGTTGAGCTTCTTCATTATCAATTTTAAGTAATTCCAAAGTTGAATCTTTTTCCAGTGGTCTATCCATGTCCCAAAGTTCTCCGTTAACTTTAGCAATGATTGTATTATCAGCAAGTCCTTGACTGTTTAAATAATTTAGATATAATTATAAAGATTTTTCAAAAATGAACTATTCCAAACCTTATTCCTTTTGCTACTTCATATGGTGTGGATTGCCAAGCTTTAGCATTAGTTGTTTTTCCATCAGGAAAAGTGACAGTGATTGGCTCCAATACTTTATTAGCAAGTTCAGTGTTATACTCTTCCTTCAGCTTATCCCATATTTTCAAACGATCCTAATGATAAAAAAAGAAATAAGAAAAATAATAAATATAAATGTCTCATATAAGTCATAAATATTTAAATTTTACAAATGAAAATTATACAGTTAAAAAAATTTAAAATCTTAAATTCATCTTTTAGTAATAAATATGATTTTTTTTTTTTAAATATTGAAAATACTTGTACTATTATTATTATTGAAAAATATATTTAGAGAAAGATAAATATTATAATTAATATTTCTACCTAAATAAGTATTACCTAAATTTATAAAACAATGAAATCTAAAACATATACATTTATTTGGTCATATTAGTAATGATATATTTGAAAAAAAGTGCAAGAATATCTAACCTCAATGTAAGTTGGCAGAGGTTTCATTTCAGAAACTTTAGATCTTCCTTCCTTTTCTTTCATTGCCATTTTTTTCTTACTTGGTTTCTAAAATATATTAAACAAACTATAATAATGATATAAATATACAGGTATAAAAAAAAATACAATTACATGTTGAATTGTAATTTTGTAATATGGTTATTATATATTTTTAATTTATCAGTATTTTAAGTATTATTTAACTTTTTTCAAAATTCTTAAACGCTTAAAATTACTTATATTTAGGTCTTAAAAGTTCAGAAACAAACTTGAACTGCTTATTCTTTGTTTTGTATTAAAATCACTGTATGATACTAACATTTTAAGTTTTTCCATAATCAATACAGTATAAACACTAGTATTTAATTTAATTTATATTTTTATTATTATTTAGAATTGTTAGCATAGTTTTATAACTTTCATATGCCAGTCAAAATAAAATACTTGAATATTTCGAGAAAAAAAAATTCTCAATCAAGATTAATTTTAAGAATGATAAATCAAAAAATAGAAATAAGTTTATAATTTGTTAATAATTTAAATGTATGTGAATATTATTATTATTTATAAATCATACTACAATTTTGAATATTATATTTATTACTAATCATCAGGGCTTGGAAGTTGTAGCACTAAATATGTTACTTTTTAACTACTAAATATGCATTTAACTTGAAAAAAATGTAAATTTACAAATTGTTGGACTCATTAGACACAATCTGGACTGATTGAATTATAAAATGTTAACAAAAATGTTAAATTACTTAAATATATTTGTAAAAATATACTTATTATTAAATTATTTTATATATTTACCTTCGAATTTAACCTATATTGTTAAATTATTGATAATCTAATGCAATGATATGAGGGAATAAAAATGACGTCACTAACTATTAATACATCAAATTGTTGATAAAAATATAAAATAATATTTGATGAGGTCTAATTATTTTCAATAATTAAAATATTTTTAAAAACATAAATAAATACAATTATTATCAACAAAATGTGATTATTTCCTACATTATGTGAAAATATATTCGAAAATAGCACTATAAGCCCTAAATTAGCAAAATAGCAATAAAACCCGTAAATATGCAAAAAATAACAAAATTAAATTTTGTATATGATATCCGAGTAGTGAGAAACATATTTGTATCTCACTTTGGATGTTCTAGGATGAACCAAGAAAAATATGCATTTGCTACAACTTCCAAGCCTGCTTATCATATAGGAATTATAATTAAGTTATTAATATTTAACTACTGAATTTTACAAAATTTTAAAAATTTAAACTGAACATAATTACTTTACACATTGATTTGATGGTTTATGCAAAATGTAAGTAATACTAAATACAATTAGAGAAAATTGTAAATGTTTCTTACTTGATATTTAGGTAATCTTAGTCCACGTACTGATTTTATTCTAGAAAATATTGTTTGATGAAAGTCAAATAATAACTTTGAACGCATTAATTTACTAAAAAATACAAATTATAACAATTACAAAGTGAGTAATACAGAATGATAAGCTACATATTAAGTATAGCATAAATATTTCAACACAATCAAATTATCAATGTGATAATAAATTAATAATAAACATTTTTAAGTAGACTTAATTCTAAAAAGTAATTATTAAAATAAGTATTTTAATTCAATCATCATTAAAAAAATTTATTAAACTAATTTGCATTTTTAAGGTTAGTTAAGAATGACAGTTATTCTATTAAAAAATTTAGTTCATGCCTTAAATAATCAACAACTTACTTTAATTTTTTATTTTAGATATTTTTTACAAATGAAGATAATATTCCATCAGATTTCTACAATATTTTTAAATAAATTATGAATTAATTTATGAGTACTATCTTAATATCTTTAAATTTAAAAAGTAACATAAGTATTTTTATTAAGGTTTCTTGAAACCAGTACTAACAAGGTTCAATAATACATAAGAACATTTCTATATTCTTTGGTCACATATCAATTCATAAATTGTAATTTTTTAAAGAAACAATTCTAATACTTTGGATGTAGAGAATAATTTGATACTCTTAGAAAAATCTTATAGTAAATTAGATATATATATTAAAATATATATATATATATATATTATATTTATTAAATCAAAATGTATAATTGAATAAATATAATATAAAAAACAATGAAGTCTGTGTTCGGACGAACATAGTATTCTTTCAAATTCTAGTCACCAATAACATTTGATATTAGCCAAGGATATGAAATATTGAAATTTATAATATTATTTAGCTGGTCAAGAGACCAATATGTTAACTCCACGGGCAATTATCTTAATTTAAAACGTAAAAGCACCAATAACATGATCTAATCATAATCCCTAACCATTTGGACAACCATAGAATTCAATCGTATACATAATAATGAATACATATTGTCGATTTACAATAAATATGTATAATACATGTAAAATAATAGATTAATAATCAAACAGTGTTAAAGGCTTACCTGAATACGTAAAGAAGCACACGAACACAACTATGCTTTCACTTCACAGTTGTTATCAAAACAAAAACGTGATCGGTACTTAATCACATACGTGGAGGTTATAAATGTCTACTGACAACGCGAAGTATTTTTTTGCGCCGGCTGCGATAAGAACTGTCCGCGTCCGGGAAACAAATAATGATCATTATTGTAGTGAGTTCCAAACTTTTTCTGCTTTTTTTCAAGCAGTATTTTTTCGTGGGCCCCCGAAAAATATTTTGTATTCAGTTTTATTTGCCTGTGTTCTACGAAGCGTATTACACATGATAAGTATTTACATGATAAACTTAATTACCTACTTATTTAATATTATTTACTTTATCATGCACATTTATATAGGAGGAAACTCGAAACTCGATAGTGTACATTTAATATATATCTGGCCGAGAAATAACTGGAATGGGGATGCGTAATATCTAAAATTAAAAATTATATTTTCCTATAGGGATTTTAATATTGTTTGTATAGGTACCTACGTATCGGTAAATTATGTTCGAGTTGACAGAGTCTTGTAAAAATATATACCCCCCGTTGTTTTAAATGACGATCAACAATCGTTACGTTATTACATTTTCTACGGTTAAATGAACGGAGCCCTTGAGGAAAAATTGCGGAGCCCTAAGTGCTCCGTAGATCACAGTAGGGGAACCACTGCGTTATTGATTATACGGTTACTAAAAAGTGTTACGTAACTAAATAATTATTAAATTATTCGTATTTATTTTTTGTGTACTTGGTAATGCGTTAATAGTCTTAACTATTATCGTTCCACCAATACAATTAGGAAGAAAGCATTCTTATCGCGGAGCCGATTCTACACTACCATATCAAACGAGGGAGAATATAACACGATCAATGAACTCATTATGTCTATAGGTACATTTTATTACCTTCGTATAATATTATATCATATTTTTCACAATGTAAAGTTTGCACACAGGGTGGCGATCGCTTTCTCCTTTTGGGCTATTTATTTTTATCACAGATTTATTCATGTACGAATTTTTAGTAAACGGATGAAAACATCTTGCAACTAAATTCCAAAATGCTTTGCATGTTTGCTTATTTATTATTGTTTTCTTATATTAAAACATGGTTAAGATCTAGTGGAAGTAGACTGACTGGATTGTCTTTATTAAACATTATTGTGAATATAGAAGAAGTCATTTATAGGTTAGCAAATTAAAAAAAAAAAAAAAAAAAAGAATGTTAAATTATTATATAAATTAATATTTTTGAATAATGCATTTTTATACTTGAAATAAGCGTCCTAACAATTAATTACAGTAAAACCTCGATAAAACGGAACTTTGGTAAGACGGAAACCCTGATATTACGGAACATTTTTTGGTCTCGTTTCAAATTACTTTTTATCCCTAATTTTATTCCGCCAAGACGGAAACCTCACTAAGCCAGAAACGGACACGTTTTTGTAATAAAAGTTGATGAAAATCCTCGTTAAGACGGAAATATAACATGATTAACGGTTTGAAAAATGAATGTATTCAAAACTGTTTCCGTAAAGCTGGATTCTTGATTGATAGATCGGAAGTGAATCCCAATGAGAATGCCTTGACTGAAATTCAAGATATCTTGTTGAACTTGATTTTAACCTAGAAGAATTTCTTCATATTGATGACCAACTTGAGACGCAGCAAACCCATGATTCGTCTACATCCATAGTTGGGTATGAATGTGAAAAAGACAAAGACAACGACGAAAACCAATATGAAAAACCAGAAAATCTGGTAAAAGATTACAAAACTGCTATCTGCTACCTCGAGGAACTACAAACATTTTTCCTCACAGTGTCCAGTAGTGAGCTTTTGAATTTGAATTCGAGAGCCAAGAAGTGTGTGGAACGCGACGCCTTAAGAAACAAAAAGCAAAAATCAATAATAGATTTTTTTCAAAAAATAGTGCAGAAATTGGGCATTTGGAATCGTTATTTGAGTGTAGGTTTTATTCAAGAACTATAAATCACGTTCTGAATAATTAGCACCAAACACGCTTATATATATTACATACTATTAGGAGGTATATTCGAAAACTAAATTCCAAAATATTAGAAAGTTTATCAAACCGGTCCGGGACTTGTGTATCGGAAAATTGTGCAAATAGTGTGCACAAAAATTGCAATAGAATGTAATGAACATCCATAACACACAATTAAATAAAACATAAACGGAATTCCTTCTGTTTAACATTAAATTCACGTCTGAATGAAAATAAATAAATATCTAATTTCAAAGCAAGTTCCTTAGTAGAGCAATTTATTGAAAATTTATAAGATAAGAAGAACGACTGTATACCTGTCATTCAAACACTTTGTATAACCAGTGGCGTAGTTACGGGGAGGGTGTAAGGCGTTTCCACTCCCTCCCACAGATTTTTTTTTATAATGATATTTGATTATTATTTATTAATATTTACATATTATAATAAAATATTTTGATTTTACTATGATTATGTATATATTAAAAATTGAGTAACAAAATAATTTTCATTAAATACGGGACATAATAATAATACCATTTTAAATGTAATATTATTACATATGACCTCGTTTTAAGATATAATAATAACACTTAAAAACTTACTCTTTAACACCCCCCCAGAAAAAAATTGAATCTACGCCACTGTGTATGACCAACCTGCGAAGGATTCCATAAAATGTGGACCCATACTCCTGATTTGAACACACTATTAAAATTTTTAGATATTGGATAACATTGAGTTCTCAACTTGTAATAAATCCTAGCGCACGCATTGCTAATTAACATAATTAATATTAATAACATTAACATAATAGTAATAGCGTCGTTAATTGCTGCTGAAACGAAAAAAACCGTACGGGATGTGCCGCCATCGGATCGTTCCGACTAGAGGTGGGTAGTACGTTCCTTTTGTAAAATCATTCCAATCGGTACGGTAACAATAAAGTACCGATTCCGAAATAGTGTTGATAAAGTGAAGTACTTTATTATAAAAAAATATTATTTTTCCCATCTCTAATATGCGCTACGCTTGGAACAAGCGAAATATTAATCGTACTTTGTATGTCGATAGTTCGTATGTCGTGCACCGATGTTAAGTGACCCATATACGTTTAATATTATTGACAAAATATTGACGAAAATTGACGATGACCATCAACATATCAATAATATTGATTAATTATTAAACATAATATTATTATCAAATTACCAGGTCCGTTATCAAATAGTAAATCAGATATTACAGAGAACAGTTTACCAATGTTTACAATTAATTTAAATTTTAATTAGCTTTAAACAACTTATAGATTTTAATTACAAACAGTTATGTCTTATAATTTAGATCAGGGGTCGGCAATAGGTGGCCCGTGGAAGGGAAATAAATGGTCCGCCAAAAATATTTTGCTAGTTTTCTGCTCGTTATAGAAATATAAAATATATAGCTCTATTTATATATTTGCTCTATATTTATGATGTATTTGGAAATCACGATAGCGATCATCTAGCTGTTTATAATAATAGTCACGATAACAAAACACTATACATTGTATATATTTCTTGTAATACTTAATAATATTATTTAGGTAGTACGATTTAATTGTTAACGCGTTGCGATTGTCGTTTGTCCGGATATTATTATAGATATTGTTCGGGTTTGAAAATTGCATCGCGTTCATAGTGTTAAAACTTATTAATTTATAAATATTTTTCGTGTGCAATCGAGTATGTTTTCCAAAAAACGTAAAGTTGACATTGAAAACAGAGTTTCTGATTGAGTAGATCGAACAATATTGTTTTACATTTCCAGTAAGGGCTAGAGCCGTTCCAGTTTATTTCATATACAACTCTCATATGTTAAGAGAATTAAGGATAAGAATGCTGAAATACTTTCATATCAATGTATAATTCATCAAATATTCCTATGGCAAACTTCGTACAACACTGAAGGAAGTAATGGACATAATGATCAAGTTGATTAATTTTATAAGGTCTCCGATCTTCTCTTCAGCATAGGCAGTTTAAAGAGTTTTTATTTGAATGTGATTCAATGTCTTCAGATATGTCTTCAATAGAGCAATGTTCGTTGGTTAAGTAAAGGTAAAGTGATCGAACGTTTTTGGAGTATAAAAGTAGAAGTAATCACGTTCTTGATAAATTTGGATTCAGGAGAATCAAAAAAGTATCATAAATTCTTAACAAACGAGAGCAATATGCTATCTGTGGCATTTTTAACAGAAATTTTTGCTTATTTAAATGCACTTAATACTGAATTACAAGGACATAAAAAGTTAATTTGTGATCTGATATCAAATCTATTAAAATACCTCTATATATGATTTGAGTCGCCCCTTCCTAGAAGTAAGTTTACATACGCCCTCGTTATAATGCGTTTTTAATACAAAAATAAGTACAGTATTGATGAAATTACGTCTGCTTTTTCTGACACTACATTTTTTTTTTTTTTTTAATTATTTGGACCGCTATAGAAATTAATTGCCGACCCTTGATTTAGATAATACTATAATAGCTCTCGCTCTAGCTATTTCTTTTCTCGGTAAAAGAAAGAAAAAACGGAAGCAGAGGTTTTGGGTTAAAGAGTGGTTGCAAAAGCGAAATAAGTACAATTGTGAAAATCTGTTATCTGAACTACGATTGAACCAACCTGAAGTCTATCGAAATTATTTAAGACTGAACGAGTCATGCTACGATGACATATTAACTTAAGTTACACTATTTAATAAAAAAAAAACAATATACAATAATGCGCGATATCATTGACAGTGCTTCAATAAAAATCAAATATTTTTAATTTGTTCGATGTATTGATCAATCCTTCAATACTACCAGTACACGATCGACATTATTGACCGTGTACGGACCGCTTGACGAATGTGAAATGACGAACGCACTCGTTCCGTCGATGCGTTCGCGTTATTCTTTGTACCGGTTGCACACCGGCCCACCACATTGGTTCCAACGAACGAGGCGGTGAATGACGGCGGCGTACTCAGACGATGACGCGACGCTCGTGACACGCGTTTCCGTGGAGAAAAAAAAAAAGAATAACGTGGCGAGGTGGGAAGCGACGTTCGGCGGAGGAAGTGGAGCGGCGGGGAGGTCTAACCGTGAAGGATAAAACAATCGAATGCGGACGATGTTTGCACGTACTAACGGGCTGTCGATTCACAAACTGCGAAATCGTGCGCGCACGAAGAGCGACTGGTGCGGTAAAGGCTCGGATTTTGATGCAAACGCATTTTTTTTCCCGAAGTCCTAACGCATAGGTCTCCCCGTAAGAAGAAAATGTGTGTTCCGAGTGATGGTACCGATTAATTTAATGTAGTTTTTATTTTGCTTTTAGTTTAACAAATTTAACTTCGCGCGTGCATTTTTAAAGCATACGTTGCTGTTTTTAGGGCATTTTTTCGGAATTTAACTATACATTAGTCGTTGTTGATTATGCGTTTCGGCATTTGTTCGCTCAAAACTAGCATGTAAATTCTACTAAACCGATGGACTAATAGATACGAGCATATTATAGTCGAAAGAAACTTTTTTCGTTTACAAGATCACAATAGCAAATTATAAAATTAATTAAATTCAAATAAAGTTAAACGAAATGAAAATATTAAACAAACAAGTACCTAGTTTCGTTATTATTACGTTAAATAAATATAATTAAATACGTTCGGTAACGTGATTTTTATAATATCTTCTGTAGAGCATTCTGTATGGTTTTTAAAGCATTTTTTGCTATTTTCAAATCATTAAAATCCCAACCCTAATGACGACGATCGCCGTACACCGGTGGCATCGTTCGGCCGACCGTCTCGCCAAAGCCAAAGTCGGACGATCGCGGAAGCGATCAGTACGCGCGTGTCGATAATCGAGTCGACCTATCGTCTCGATTGCGTACCGCCCGTTCGAAAGCGTCCGGTCCGTGCGTGTTGTTGCGTGTTTCGTCAGGTTCGCCGCCGATCACTTTTCACGATGTCCGGCACGGTTCGTTGTCCATTATCAAACATGACCGTGTTACGAGTCCCGTCCGTGGTAATTACAACGCTCCGTAAATTTTATTCGGCAGTGCCGTTTGCTCAGTAGACTCGTGTTCTCTTGTTTTCGTACGTTTCGTTTCCAGCTCTTTCACTCTTGCCCGGATTTTCATCGTTTTCATTTTTCTCGGTTAGTGTATCGATTTTGTTATTGTTATTGTTGTCATTATTATTATTATTATTATTATTATTATTACCGTTGATATCAAGTGGTGTCGTCGAACTCTCGGTCTTGAGTGTTACCAATAAATATAACAGTTATATTTAATATAATAGTTACTATTATCCGCTTAAGTGCTAGACGACGCAGTCGTCGAGTGTTGAGTACACTGTAATGCGGTGTGTACTCGTGTTACTCTTGTACGTTTGTTCTCTAACACTCGTGTTTCAGTTCATGTCGTAATGAACGATTCAACGAATTCGACCGCATTCCTTGGTTTGAGTCGATTAGAACGTGCTCGAAGATATTCGTGCTATAATGTTACGCTACCTGATGTATCGAATATGAATTTCAAAGTGTTTCATTACTTCACAACCCATCGACTGATCGGTTTGTGAAGTTGTTTGCTCAATAGGTATTATTGGTTTAATTTTTAAACCTATATGTGATCGTGTTTAAAATGCATTTTTATCAACCGATAAGACCATCGAATACCAAATGTTTATTTTTCGAATCATCAGTTGTACACAGCTATGGAAAATACCATTTGGATTTTCTTATTGCCCATAATCTTGAATTGAGTTCACTATTTTAGATGATAATATAATGTTCGGTGACACGTTAGCGGTTTTTCTTCAAATTATTTATTCTATTGATTTCAAACTAGTTTACCATTGAATGCTGAATATAACAAAACCAAAAATTAAATGTATTTATTGTTATATTGATTTTTTTTTTATAATTGTAGAATAATTTAGGAATGGCAAATCAAACTATAAAGAGAAAAGTAGAAGGCAATAATTCACGTAATGGTATGTATATTATATATTAAGTTTATGTAAGTAAAAATTAGTTTTATTTGTGTACTGATTTGATTTATTATTATTATAGTTACTGCTGACTTGAATGATGATGAATTTGATATCACTTGGGGTGGCAAACGATCTCGATACATCTACAATTATACTTTGCAATCCCCCAATAGTATTATCAATGAAGATTCAGATGACACTGAAAGTATACTTAGTATACAGTCAAAGACTACAAGTAATAATTTTTAAAGAAATTGGTTTAAAAAAAAACTAAATTTGTTACTTGACACATGAATATATATTTTAATAATGATAGTACTGATTACTATACTTCTTTATTAAAATATGAGTCCGATTTTATTTGTAAGTATTATTTTTTAAATACAGTAGAACATTGATGTTTCATTTATTAATAAATATAAAAATAAGTTAATATGAATACTAAGTCAATAGTGAAAATAATCAATTTTACTATTGAATTTAACAATATTAATTCACAATATTTTGTGTTTAATTAATTGTTTTAAAACAATTATTTCAACACCTATTATAACTTAAATTGCTATAAATCAATTCCATGCTGTTATTTTTACTTAACAATATGTTTGTAAATATTAAAATGAATGTGAAAATGTTTGTATTTTTTATAATTTAAATTTTTACTTATTTCTTAGTAGAAGCTGTAAGCTCAAATGATAGTTCTGACAGTTGCAGTTCTGAGTGTGACTGTCAGGATTCTAGTCAGTCAACTATTCACTCAGAATATGAGGTGGTAAATTCATCTTCACCAAACTGTATTATTGATTCAAATTCTTCAGATTCTTCTTCATTATTTGATTACGAGGTAAAATTGAAATTTACTATGAATTTATTATAAATATATGTATATTTATATATGTAAAATTATCAGGTATATCTAATATTTATCGACCGAGGTTTAGAATAAGTAAAAAGTATGGCTTGAATATATTTAACATTCAATAGTAAATTATAAAAATAATGACTTAAAAAGATTAGATTCAAATTTATATAATAATTAATAATATGTATATAATTTATAATATATGATACAATAAAAGTTAAATATCCATTGTATTATTAAATTGGGCTATGATCATTGAGTATAAAAGAATATTTATTCTTCATTGATTGTTAAACTACAATATGCTATATATATATATATCAATCATACTAAAAAAATAAAATAAAATACAAGTATAAAAAAGTGTATTGAGTACTAAGATGTATTACAACTAGGTTTTCGTAAGTATAATAAGATAAAAAAAATAAAAACAATTTTGGTTACTATTTGAGTCTGGATGGATGCATCATAAATATGTATTAACTCGTTTTGTGTAAGAGGACTTGTGTAAACAGCATTAGTTGCTGAATTTTCTAAACGGTCTTTCAATGTTAAATCTCCAGATTGTGCTCTACATCTTAACAGCGATCTGAAATTTCCATCATTGTTATCAGCACTGCAACTAAAAATAGGTCCACTGTCATTATCTCCTCTTAATGCCACTTCCTGACGACCACAAAAAATAATTGTTTCAATAATTGGAACTAGTTTAGCACAATTTTCCAAAACTATGTTTTTATGTGCTGAATCGATAGCAATAGAGATATCAGGTTTTTTATTATCCATTATTTTTAAAAATTCATCTGTGCGTATAACAGACAATTTATGGTATTCTGTATTAAAATGTAATTTAAAACATTCCAAAGCATCTCTCCATTTAATAAAAGGTTTACTTACTAAAGCAACAACTCTTTGAACCTTTTCCGGTGCACTCATTAGAAAATAAAACTCATACTTTACATAATGCTCCTTCTAATTGTTTTGAATAAACTAACCAACAAAACCGTGTTAACCAAGATATTTGGAATTTTAATTTTCTTTTTGACACTATCGGAAGATTATAACTTGAAAAAGGGAGCTACGAATTTTTTTAATAAATCATACTTAAATTTATCTTCAGATATTAACAGTAGTTAACATCTACACACCGTCCAATATCACCAAGTTCTGGTAAATCTACAGTATTTTCTATTGCACCGTTTTCAGTAGTAGACACACACGGAACTTCTTCTGTAATAATTAATTCTGAATCCAATTCAGTTTGATTGGTTTTCTTTTGAAAACAATTAAATATTGACGACTGAGATAGCAAACTTCGTTTCATTTTTCAAAAAATATATAAAATATAATGTAACAGTAAACAAATACACATACACACACTTATTAAGAAATAAAATCAAATTAAATACACGTTATATTTTATATCATAACTGAACAGTGAATACTTCTGAAAAATAGACTGAACAATAATACTGGCGAACACGTGACAATTAAATAGCTAGATTACGATTAAGTCCGTCTTCCGACAAGATTGAGATAACATAAAATGTATAATATATAAATATACGTTTGTCATTTTCTAAAACAGATAACGTGGAATGACTAGAGGGAAATTTACAAATACTTAAAATAAACTGTAGTTGTACAATTATACATTTATAAATAAAGACGTGTGTAGTTTTTGTTATACTATAAATATATACCTACTTTAAAAATTTCGGAGGCTTTGAACTCCTAACCCCTCCTCCCTCCCCTGTATACGGGCCTAGTTCTCAGTACTATAGAGATTATAATATTATTGTTGAGTGCATTGGGAGCCGGAGCAATACAAATAATAGCCGTTGATGAATTAATTTATTTTGTCAAACGATATAAAACTTAGAATTTTGGTTGTCATATATCTGATATTTTATTATTAAACTATACATTTTTTTGAATTTTTTGTTAAATCCATGAAATATGCATTAAAATATGCAACATTCTTAAACACAAAATATGCGAATTGGTACAAAAAATAACAAAATATGCTAAATTATGCAACAACAATTTTTATATCTGAAATATACATACTATGAATCGAATTTGTCTCGGGGTCGTTGAGCAATTAATTTTTGGCTTCATTCCTTCTATTAAATGCTTCCTTGCAGGAGTTGTTGAACCGCGGTTTCTTTGTTCTCTTTTTTTGCCTTTTACTGTGTCTGTGACCGTTTTTATAGCAGTCTTAATCATATTCCATTTAGTATTAATTGTCTTTTCTTGACTTTTGTTTAAAATGTTCATTGTTTCATGTAATTGTTGCTTAAAAATTTCACTTATATTGGTATCCTTTAACTTATTCACGTTATATCTATCCACTAATGTTCCTTTTCTAGATATCAGTTTCTTGAGTTTTATCTTCAGATTTCCTTTAACTAGGTAGTGGTTTGAATCACATTCAGCTCATCTGACTGTTTTGATATTTTGTATACAATTTTTGAACCTAGTATTAATCAGGATATGGTCCATCATATCTACTATTCGGTGTCTTTCATGTACCCTTATTAGATGTCTTTATGTGGGAACACTGTACTTTTCACAATAAGTCCTCAACTACTTGCAAAGTCTATAAGTCTGAGTCCGTTCTCACTGTTTACATTGTGAAGGTTATGGTTACCAATCGTTGACCTAAATATGTTACCCTTTCCTAACTTGACATTAAAGTCTCCTAGGACTATCCTAATTCTGCTTCGTGTGATTTCATTTAGCGTGTGTTCCAAGTTATCATAAAATTCGTCCTTTTACTCTTGTGATTTTTCTTCCGTGGGTGCATGTTCGTTCACGAATGTAATATCGAAATATTGCGCTTCTATTATACTGATCCAGGTTTAAAAAGTGTTCTATGTTCCAAAAGATAATCCATTTTTCCATTTTCAGTCTTGTTTTCCGAAGCTCCACGATTCCGAAGCAAGTTTGTTATTAAGTCTTGAGCAATATTGTTTTTTAAGGCAGGATTGTTAGCCCTACGCTATACCCATAAACTGAAGGACCAGATTACTCCAACCAATTAAGGTCAGAGTAGGGAGTTTTTTTTTCTAATTAAAGTCAGTACAGTTCAGAACTCGAGGCCCTGGGTTCGCAAAACCCATTGTACTAGATAGTGCTCCCCTGGAGTTTTTTTTAAAAGTTTTAATGTTTTTATAATTAAAATGCAGGAAACATTTTTTACTATGTTTAAATTAAAAATACCATCATGAAGGATACGTGTTGTTTTATTTTTATTTTTTAAATTTAAATGTTATGTTTTTGTAGTACAGATTGCATATTATCAAATAAAATGAAAAAAAAAATAAATAAATATTTTTAAATACAAAATATAATAATAAGCATTTGAAATATATTTGAATTACTTCTATCCAAAAGTATTTCAAATTTATTTAAAATACAGAAAAAGTATTTAAATATTTAATAAATATGATAATGTGTAGTGTAAATTTATGTATATGTTAAGTTAAACATATTAGAAAAAAAATCAGTTAAATATTAATTATTTATTTTAAATTATTAAGGTTCAGAAGATGGATATAGTATGTGATATACCAATACTTGATTCTGATATTGGATATTTACCTGATGATTCTGACACCAAATTATCTTTACAAAAAAATAAATGGCCAACACCGGCGTGCTTTAAAAAATGTTTACAGTGTCTAAAAGAAAATTCAAACCCATATTTTCAATATTGTTTTACATGTTTTAAAGTGAGTATAATGTTTTTAATGAACATTTCTGATAAATATAAATTGCACCCAACAAAAGTAGAAAATTACAAATTATGTTGCTCTCACTATACTTTGAGTAGTAAAATTTGTATGCTGTTTAGCATTACCTCAAGCATATAATTTACTACAAGGAAGATGCTTTTAGTACCTTCTAAACATTGTTTTTAGTTAAAATAATCGATTTTATTTTTTTAGTTAAATTTTGTATACTTCTAGAATGATGCAATAACATTCATAAATATTTAGTTCCACTAATATAGTATACTATTATTTATACGAGTCACTTAATCTTCTCTCTTATCATATATAGAAGTATCTTAATAGTAGTATGATACTTACTATGTTAGTGTAACATGATACATGATACGTGGCCATATCATTGCTAGTTACAATTTTTTACCTTAGATAATTACAAATTTGGAATCTATTATTTATAATAGTTTAAAATTGATAGTAAAATAATAATGTAAAATAAATTTGTATAATATACATTTTTTTCGTTAAATAGAAAAAATTTTAAATTAAAGTTTCATGGTTCTATAAAAAAATATTCTATGTCGAGTTTAATTAAATAAAAGTTGGACTGTACATTTATGGATTGTGATATCTTATTGTTGTCATCAAAGATTTTAATTTAATGTTTAAACTTGTTGATAAATAATGAAAAATAACAATTTTACATCAATATCTGTTTAATTTAAAGCACTACAAAAAAATACAAACATCTGTACATGTATAATTATTATAAATTTTAAGTAATTCTTTTTATTAAATAGTTTATTTTCATTATTTTTTTAGTATCGGATGGATTTTTTTGGGAGTAAACCCAAGCCCAAAAAAGTGAAATGTTCAAATGTGTCTATTCATAAGAGTGAAGAATGTTCGTTAAAAGATTCCCAAGATTCTGGCATATCAAATTCTCAACAATCCAATAAGATTGGCATATCCAGTTTATTTTTAAATAAAAGTAGTTTTAAAAATGTTGAAAACCGTACAGTTGAAATGTTTGAAGAATTATGCAATATCTGTTTTAATTGGCCAAAGAATGGGGTGTTTACTCACGGGAAAACATCTCATATTTATTGCTGTTATGGTTGCGCTAAGCAGTTGTGGAAAAAAAATAATAAATGCCCACTTTGTAATGTAAAGGTTAAATTAGTCACTAAAATGATCGTTGTATAGTTATTTTTCTGTTAGATTATATATTTTTGTTAATTTTTTAAATATTTACAGTTTATGTTTATATAAATTTATAATTTTTTAATATTAATTAAATTAAATAATAATTTTAAATTATATCTCATATAAAAAATGTATACATTTATATTGTTGATCATAAAATTTTACATTATTGTTCTTATTTTATATTTTAAAAGTCTAATTTGTGTTTAATTTTAATTATGTTTTATAATTTATTCAATATACATATATATATTTATATATTTTTGTATTTTTTTTTTTTTTATTGATCATTGATTTACACCTTTCTACTACTGTGGTCATTAGTGACATTTTTTAAATTTTAATTGTTTATACATACAAATATTGTTTTTTAAATATTAGTTTATAATGTCTGGTATCTTATAGAAAAGGAATGAGGTCAACGTTTATTTCTGGTCCTATGTTTTTGTATAAATTTGTAGGAATGCTGTATTTTATTCTTTCTGAGTAGTATGATCGGTAGTCTGTTATGTGTTTTATTGTTAGTGTCTTGTTACATGAGGTGCAGATTGTTCTTTGTTGTTTATTAGATATCCATGTGTTAGCCGGGTGTGACCGATTTTTAATCTGTTAATTATTATATTTATTTTTCTTGAAGTGTGGATTTGTGACCATAAATATATGTTTTGTTTTATTTCGTTTAATTTTGTTGTTTGTTTTAACCAGTGATTTTGCCAAACATTGTATGTGTATATTGCTATGGTTTTTTTTATGTCTAAGAATATTAATTGGCTGTACTTTGGTATTTCTATTGATATAACTGCATTTTTTGCGTGTCTATCAGCTTCTTCGTTTCCATTTATATTGCAGTGACTAGGTATCTATATTAGAGTAACGATTTTATTTGAATGTTTTAGTTCGTGAATTGTATTGATTATTGTTGAAGAAATATTGAGTTGAAAAGGATTTTGTAAGCTATGTATAGTACTTAAAGAGTTTGTAAATATATTGTATTTTTGATTGGGATTATTATTAATATATTTGAGGGTTGTTAAGATGGCGAGTGCCTCGGGTGTGTATATAGAATTTTGATTTGATAAGTTGAGGGAAATATTTTCATTATTTGTTATGACTACAATGCCCACGCACATGTTCACTTTTGGAAGCATCTGTGTAAATGTCGGGGGGATTGTTTTTGATGTCTTAGAAAAGATTTGAGGAAAAATGATGAGTCGGTTTTACTTTCTTTATACTTTTCAAGTTCAGTATTTAAATTAATTTTGCTGGAACACGGTGGGGTTTGAATAATTTCGTATTTTATTATATTGGAAAGATTTATTTGATATGTTTTTTGTAATCTGAATAATGTGTTTCGGTATTAATGCTTCGAGGTCGTTTTTTTTTAATTTAGCAGCGAATGTAAGAGCAATTTTAATTCGTCGTATCCAAAGTAGAGTTTCATTAGCTGTTACATAAAAGCTTTCCACTGGACTAGATTTGAATCCTCCGATGGATAGTCGTAGATTCAAATTGTGAATAGGGTCGATGATTTTTAAAATAGGGTTTTTGGCAGATGAGTAGATTTCAGCTCCATATTCTAATTTAGATATTATAAGTGATTTATAAATTTGAATGAGTGTTTGGGTCCGGGATTCCCAAGTAGTATGTGGTAAGACTTTTAAAAGATAAGATCTTAGTGTTGTTTCTTTTTTTATATATTGTATATGGGGTTTCCATGACAGTTTTTTATCAAATATTATTCCAAGTATTTTAATGGTATTTTTATTTGATATTATTAATTCATTTATTTGAAAAATTGGGGGAAATATATATTTTTTTTTTAAACAAATACTTTGTGATTTGCTTGGTGAGAATTTAAAGCCTGTTTGGTTTGATCAATTTGAAATATTATTTATGGTTACTTGTAAGAGATCTTGGATTGTCTTCGTATTGTTACAAGACACGCCACCTTTACCAAATGTTATAGAGAGTGTCACGCTTGTATAATAATATAGTCTTAGTTTAAAAACTATACAATGCAAAAACAAATACATTATTAATAACTGCAGGATAAGCTGTCTTTTGAATTAATATTAATAATGTAATGAACTAAAATATACTGTCAAACTCCACGGTATTACTCTCGAGAATACGAATTGTCAAATTATATGTTAAAATATGAAATCGAGGACAACAGGATATACGTAATGTCCGAGACAGTCCCATGCCAATGAAGGATGACTTAGAAACATAGCATAAATACTGAGGAATACGAAGACAAGAAGCAGTTATCATCAGTCACCAGCAGTCAGAAATAGTTGCAGAGAGCAAGGAACAACTTCATCACGGACCCAGTCCAAATGTGCACAACCAGACCGTTATGACTTAGTAGTTTATTGCCATAAGCCCTCTTTCGGATATAGGTGTGTACATTTGGATCAACCTTTTAAGCATTGTGCACTTATTTATTGTATTTTGAGTATAAATAAATGTTAACTTCTTTACTACTAACATTGTACGGTTATTCTACAAGTTTAACATCTGGTTCGCAACAGTATGTTTGCTTCTTAAAAAAATATTAAGGTTATCAGAAAATAAGGTGTGTTTTATAGGAGTAAGTATACATTTACTGATATCGTTGATAGCAATTAGGAATAGTACAGCTGAAATACTTGATCTCTGTGGTATACCGTTTTCTTGCGTGAATGTATCTGAAACAGTGTTGCCTATTTTTACTTGAAATGTTCTAGTTTGTAAAAAAATTGAGATAATTTAGTAGGTTACCATGACATAAGACAGAGCTTAATTTTTTTATAATTCTGTATTTCCAGGTGGTGTCGTAATCTTTTTCTATATCTAAGCTTATTAAGCTCATTGATTGTTTATTTTGGAACGTTTTCTTGATTTCTATGTGGGAGAGACCGCTTATGGTAGATTTATTTTTGCGGGACCCATTTTGAAATTTAGGTAAGTAACCGATTTTTTCAAGAAACCATATTGATCTGGTGTTAACTATTTTTTCAAGTATTTTACACATATTGTTTAGTAAAGAGATAGATCTGTATCTGTTGATTTCAGATTTATTTTTATTTGGTTCTAGGATTAGAATTATTATACTGTTTCTCCAACTTTGGAGGATATAATTTTTTTTCCATATCTCGTTGAATATAGACCGTAATACTTGTTTACCGTTTGGCGGTAAGTGATGGAGAAAGGGGTAGGGGATTCCGTCTTTTACTTTTACATTTGGATAACGCGTAATTTATTTCATTGATAGAGATTTCTTCATTGAGTTGTATTTGATCAATGTTTTTTGGATTTGTTGTGGAAATTACAAATAAGTTTTCGGAGTCAAATTTTATTTGTTTGAATGCAGAGGTGTAGTTGATGTTGCTGCTGTTTTGAAAGTGTTTGCCGATAAGATCTGCCGCTCTCTGTGGTGTTACAATAGTGTTTGTTTCGTTGTCGAGAATATTTATTTGGCGATTACGTTTTAGACCTTTTAATGATTTTATACTATTCCAAACGCTAGATGGTTTTACTTTAGTATTTCAATTAGACGTGAATTGGTGCCACGAATTAGTTTTGTTGGTTTTAATTATTTAGCTCTGGCTCTAAGTTTTTTAAATTGGATGAAGTCATTGACATTTCTATTTTTTTTAAACTTATTTAATGCGGTATATTTTTCTTTTATTGCTATTTTTATGCTTTCGTTCCACCAGGGAATTTTTGGTTTCACGTTGCTACTACATTTTCCAATTGTTTTTTCTGTAATATTTATAATTAGTTTAGAAAATTGTTCGACTAGTATATCAGGTGAATCATTATTGTTTAATGTGATTTGGAGTTCAATTTCTTTGTGTATTGATTCAGTATAATGATTCCTATTGGGATTTTTTAAGTTCCATCTTGATGGGATGTTATTTTTGATGTCACGTTTTTTAGGAATTATTTTTATGTTGATTGGAAAATTATCACTACTGTGGGTTTCTGAGTTTGCTGTCTAAAGGAGACGTTGTGGTAGTGTGGCATATGAAAATGATATATTAATAGCAGAGATATTACAAATGTATGGGTTTAGACTGGTGTTTTCACCTGTGTTTAAGAGTGTAATATTATCATCAATTAGTATTTTTTCGTTTATTAGTATGCTATAGAAATTATCGGAGATGAATATGGCAATGCTGCCACTTGTTCGGAGAGCATGCTTACAGTTTGTATAATAAGTGGTGAAATTAGGAATTTTTCCTATTGAGTTATCGTTAAAATTGGTTTCTTGTATGCATATTATATTTGGTGATTATTTCTGTATTATTAATTCTAATTCACTATATTTTTTATAGAAACCATTTAGGTTCCATTGTATTAAGTTAAGATTTTGTGATTACATTATTGGTTTCGGTTTTTAATATATTTTTTATTGAGATAGCTTTTGAAATGTTTTTATTATTGAGTGAGGGTTGAATCATCGGGGGGGGGGGGGTTTTATCGAATAGAGAGTTGCAGAGTCTTGTAAGTCTGTTTTTTAAATTAAGATTATTGATATTAGGTCATATTGAATGGTTCGAAACTAGTATCGAAACTGGGATCGTATTACTTAGGGTATTTTCGATTATGTATTTAAATTGGTTAAAATTGATTTTTAAATTTTCAGTTTCTTCGAATCGTATTTTAGCTGGTTTGAGAGTTTCATTGAGTTTATTCATTATTTGTTCGATAGAGTTGGATCGTTTTATTTTATTTTTTATATTTTTGTTAGTATTTGAACTAGATGGTTTGTTCACTTCTATTATTGCATTTGATGGGAGTGTAGGAGAAGATGGTTCGGTTGGTGAGCTTAAGGAAGTAGATTGAAATGCTGATCTTTTATTTGAGGCGTTTGATTCATTTTGTGATTCTATTAAGTGTTTTGAGGGTAGAGATGTTACAAGAAGTACAGACGGTTTAGATTAATTTGTTGTATTTATAAAATTTATATCGTTTGTACTCATAACGTCGATCATTTTTTTTGAGAAAACATCAGGAGAATTTACGTTGGTTAGAGCTTGTATGTTTGAATTAGGTATCTATTTTGTTGAATAGAACTGTGGACTCAGATATATTAAAAGTCTTATTGGTATTTGGTGTTTCAATCGGTGAATTTGTACATTTTTTAGAAGTGTGTTCTGAGAGTTTGCATTTGTAGCAGGTGAGGGTGTCATATGTTAAAAAGATTCTGTGTGGTGTATTGTCGTGGTTGATTAAACAGGAATTTGGAAGTTTGTGGTAATTATCGGGGTAAATGTTAACTTGGTGTCTGAAGCTGAGGATGTGAGTTAGTTCTTTTATGTTGAAGCCCATGTTTATGTGTGTTATTGGAGATAACAGCTGAATATTGTGTCCATGAAATATTTCTTTGATGTTATTATTGTGTATAGCTGGAGATATAAATGAGATTATGATTCTTTTGGCTGGGTTTATTAATCGTCTTATTTTGGTTGTTGTATGGTCATTTATTTCGATATTAGGGTGGTTTACAATTAAAAAATCTACTGTGTTTTTATCTATGAAATATATACAGAATCGGTTGTTTGATATGCGGGAAAAGTATTTTATATTTTGTTATGGAATTAATTTACAGATCGCTATTACATAATCTATTTGAGGCATGTTGTTAATTGAATTGAAAACGATTGCTTGTTCTTTTTTAGGAAATATTTTATTGCTTGTCGTTTCAGCGAATGATTTTTTTTTGGAAGGTATTGATATTTGATTCTGTATGTGTATTTTGATTAGGAAGTGAATTTGTATTAGAAATGCTCTGTGTATGATAATTTTTATTGTTATTGATATAATTATAATTGTTTGCGTGATTGTTTTTCATATGAGTGAAATTGGAGGTAGGTACTGTCTGTATGTTGTATGTGGACGGGCAAGTCGTTAATTACGCTACCTTCTTTGGTGGTGAGATTAATATTAGAGATTGTATCATTGGTATTATTTGGGTTTTTTTTTTTTTTGAAGAGTTTATAAGTTTGTCCATGAGACTAGTTGGGTGAGTGGGCTCGTTGCCCATTTTTGGAGAAAATTAATTCGTGGGTGGTGCTTTAAGAATGATGGAGTAATAAATATTCATATTACCTGGTCGTTTGTAGTATTTTACTGTGCTATCGGAAGCTATAAATATGGGAGCATGATACGATAACGTGTTGCTCGGTCAAGGTATAACACGTAACTAATATATATATATTTGGAAGTTAATACAGTGTTGTATATGACTTGTAATGGGCTGTGGGCAATTAGCAAACATTAAGAAATATAAAAGATCCAATATTATAAATATTTTATTACTTTATCAACAACAACTCAAAAACTACACAACATCACGGTTTACTCAACACACTAGCACTGATAATAATAATAATAATTATAACCCCCCCATATACATATATATTATTTTTATACTTGAATTATATTTATTTATTTTCAATTGGAATTTTTGGAATTTATTTTATTTCACAGACTCGTGATTGTTATGTTTGCTATGATTTCAATTATTGTTTTGTACTTATTTTGTAATTTAAATATATTACAATATTTAATAAAAAGTATTATTAATATATTATAATATAATATATTTATTATTATTATTATTATTATTATTATTATTGAGTACAATTAATTAATAAACTGAAACAATATTATAATTGGTTTTTTATCTCAATAGTGGTAAAATTACAACATTGAATAGTATTTATAAGTATAATATTCAAATAAAATTATTAGTTAATAATTCCTGGTTGTGCAGGTATAACATCTATCTCTGGTCTGTACGTAAACACAATCAATTTGAATGGTTTTTTTTTTTTTTATAAAATATAAGACTTATACTTGTCATTCTTCTGATATTCTAGGTAATTTGAATTAAATATTATTGGATTTAAATACTTCATCACTATAGTAGTTTACTTTGTAGGTGAATTAAGTTCTGCTCTATTAGAACTATCATTTTGATATCTAGCAGTTCATTTTTATGAAATAAAATAAAATAAAATTTAATAAGTAATAAGTACTTATCATTTAAATAATATCAATACGCTATTGTTAAACATAGAAAATAGAAAGATTTCAACATTTATTTCATTAGGTACAATAGCATAAAAGAATGTTTTTTTAATAGATCTATTTTATATAAAAATGGAATTTACCTGCAACTATTAATAATTATTATACAAACAGTTAATAGAATCCAAGACAACGATATTATTATATTCATATCTATGTACAATGGCCTGTTTGCTTGTTTTTGTTAAAACAATAATTTTTCAACGTAATTTTGATTGTAGTTAAACAATTAATTTTAATTTTTGACTGTGTTTACGTTTGATAAAATGGCACCGCCAAAGCAAGAACCTAAGAAAAAAATCGAAGTTGTGGAAACTACTGAAACCATTGTTAATCTTAATGATCCCGTAAAACCAGACGATCAATTAGTTCTTAGCAATGATGTAAGAATTAAAGATTTATTCTATAAATAATAACGATATATTTAAAATTAGTATCTACAGTGCTCGAATTGAAAATATAAAAGAAAGGGGACTCCCAGACGTAAAAAAAATTAGCGTTCCACTCAATGATTGATATTTATCCTATGTATTTTTTGTGCAAAGGCCTCCACACCCCCCAAATAGTATTATCGACAACGATAAAAAAACATTACAACTTATCACCATTTACACTACAACAATAAATAATAATTATTAAATAAAAACAAATCTTTTATTTTGTTTTTAAATACAAAATATAATTATTTAAATTTTTAATACATTCCAAAGCTCTACATATGAATGGCTCTCTTCGTTATTTTGTCACTTAGGGCAGTTAACTTCATCAACTCATCGTTTGTCCTTCTGTATCCATGATGCAACAAAGGCTCAGGTACGAAAATGTGCACTAGTGACCTTACACAATTAATCAGCATAAGAGAAGAAATACTTTTTGGGTTCAAAGCATTTATTTTAGTAGAAACTATTATATTCATTGAACTGAAAGCTCTTTTGCATTCGCTTGACGATATTGCTATAGTTTTAATTATAGTTAATAATGGTCTTAAATCTAAAACAGTTGAACTATATTTGAGATATTTAAATTCGCGAAATGCCATATTGTACATCAAATTGATCCAGCTAATATTTTGGGTCCAATACATTGAAGTAATTGAGTGTATATATTTTTAAATGCATTACCTTGCATAGATACGTTTGATGATCGTGTTGTGAACAATCTATTTTTTAAATTATTAGACAGACTTCTAAAAAACTGCATTGCATTAATCATTGGTATAGCTTTATTACTAATGAGCGAAATGCCTTTAAATAATAATTCTTCACATGTATCAATAACTTCTTTTGTTTTAAGACGATAATTTTCAGCCATTGAATCGAAAACCATTATTACGCGTTGAATAGGTACAACGATTTGCTTGAGTCAATGTATGCCTCCTATTTTGTAGTGATGTAGACAAGTTAGCTAATTCATATAAAGTATTATACATAATACCTATGACAATATAAAAAAATCTAATTAAATTACATGTTTAAATTATAATTAATTAAGTTTAACATTTTACTTACCAAGATTAGTGACAAATTCTATTTATACCAAATATTTTTTAAGTCCTAAGTACTTTGATTTTTCTTTTGATGTTTTTAATTCATCATTAGCAGCAATTGTGAAATGTTGGTATAGTGCTGGAAAATTGTTCCATACAGGTTTTATTGTTCTTTCACTCGAAGCCACCCACCGAACTGTAAACATTTTTCCGATACATTGTAAGTTATGTTCTAAAGATGTAGCACACATATTAAGCTAATTCATATTTTTTGGCGATTAGTGATACAGAGCATACATTTTTTTCAACAAACATTTAAAAATTATTAATACTACTAACTTCTTTTAGGGTATAACCAGCGGCTAGTCCTAACCTATGGTTACAACAATGCCAAATAACTATATTAGGTTATATTTTTTTCAACTGAGTTTCAACACCAGCAACTTGTTCCAACATTTATGATGTACTATCACTCACAAATGCAATGAGATTTAACTTTAGAAAATTATTGTTAAATCCATGAAGTTAAAGATTTGTTGATATAACGTTTTTAATTTAATCGGCAGATGTGTTTGTTAATTCAATAATATAAAAAAAAAGTGATTACCTCATTGTCCAACTACAGTTCTTAGATAGAACAGTTTTTAGAACAGATCAAACACAGTTTTCAAGCACTTTTATTGTTATTATATTATATTTTTTACCTAGTTTTAATTATAAATCTTAGTATTTAAATTAATGCTAAGGGACGTAAATTTATAAAATAATAAATAATAATAAAAAATTCAATACATATTCATGTAAATATGTATGTCTATTCTATACTATTTAAATATTTAATTTTATACACACATACATACTTACATATTTTAGACTCTAGAAGAAATACACGATAATATATTTTATATTAAAGAACCACCCAAACCACCTACTCAGATAATTTATAGTTATAGAAAAAAAAAATTTGAGCCTAAGATTGAAAAATCTAATGGTGTATTAATTATCGGTTTGAAATCTGCATTACTTCATTGTGAATCTACAGAAGCTAATATTCAAATTGAAAACGAGTTATGCAGTAAGAAAATTAATCTAAATAAATTATCTTACGCTGCACTCAATGATAATATTTATTTATTTTTTACAGGAAAGCCAGAAGATTTTACTGCGGTGGACGAAGTTGGTGAGATTGAAATGATGGAAGAAGAACAAGAAAATATTGATGTGCTTGATTTATCAGAAGACGTTGCTGAAGAAAATTTGGTGTTACTTGAAGAAGGCAATGAAGAATTCTTGAATGAAGAAAATGAACTGGATGAGATGAATGAAATGGAAGAAGAAAAAAGTTTGAAAGTAGTATCTAAAGAGGACTTTGAACCAGTACACAAAAAACGCGTGTTAAAAGAAAAGTCTATAGAGTCTTTTGTAAGCTTGCCGGTCACCAAGTTTTGCACCGTGATTAAGCTTAAAAACAAATTCAATTTTTTTGATCGATACGTACAAACTAAAAGTATTTCTATGAAAGTAAGATTATTATCAGAAAACATTATGTAGGACATATATGATGGCAGTATACCGTATTAGTTTAGATTTTTGGTTCTAGGATAAATACACTCAGACTAGGATAAAAAAATACGTAAAATTTCAAATGACTGTATTACGCGGTGAATCATATGACATTTGTAAAAATGATTTTATGAAACAACAAGAAAAAAAAGAAGAAGAAATGAGAAAAAAGGATGGCCGCACACATGTCTAAAAAACAAGCCGGAAGTAAAAAAAAACAAGTCACGCACGATCCAAAAACACTCAACTTACTTAACATTTCCAAGACCATTGAGAGATTTGTTAACTTACTTGTGACTGATGCCATAGCACAAGGTACAATTATACTTATTTTCGAGAAACCTTCACAATGGAAACCTTCACAATTACCAATATTTATTTGGGATGTATTTTGTTAATTTGTCATTCTGTTACCCGGATAAATTTTCAATTGCATTACCTATCAAATTTCTTTATAGATTTTCGTTATTACGAAGACCCATCTGACCAGTTCAGAAATAAAGGAGAAGGCACATTAATGCTTATGTGGAACATGGTGTTAAAAAAGGAAAAAATATTTACTGTTACTGATATGTGCTGGAATCCTATTTATTTTGACATGTTTGCCATTACAGTCAGCATTCGTAAGTTCATAAAATACATTTTTAAAACCCATTATAAATATATAATTACATTTATATTTCATATAATAAAATGCATTTTATTGAAAGTATTTTTATAATTTTTTTTTTTTTTTTATTTGTTTTTATAAGAAATATTATAGCAATGCAATTATTATTAAAAAAAAAACATAATAGGTTACCTAAAGATAGTAAAGAGAGAGATTATAAGTATTGAATGGATATATAACTTAATTAAATTTAACTACATTTTTATACTCGCTTTCTTTACAAAAATATATTTAGCATTATCAAATAATTAAATTGTTTAAGTCTCTTTCGATTAATGTAAATGAAAATAACATTTTCATTTTTATGATTTATAATCACATGAAGATATGCGGTTTTTCATACTTCTGTTTTACGCATGCGTTGTAAAATATTTAGCACAATGTTATCTATCAAGTACTGACAATCCAGATGTGGGTTATGTATGCGTGTGGTTGTTAAAAAATTCGTCGTACCCCGATTTCGTCACTGAAACAGATTGTGGAGCGATGTGCCTTAGTTTCCATCACCAATTTGGTTATAATCTGGTGGTCGGATTTCGTGACGGTGGCTTAGCTGTGTACAACATTAACATGCTGACTCACGAACCGCAGTACAAGACGGATTTGACCCAAACCAGACATATGGCTTGTGTGAGACAGGTACCAACGTATTTTCATACGCACTCATATACTGTTGATGATACTCGCGAACGTATTTAATAGGACTGTAAAATGGATAGACTTCTTGGACTTGGCGAATTCGTGTTCATTTCAACCTATCGATCAATTTTGTCATTAATGCTATTAGAATAGTTTTGAAAGGTTGTTTTATTTTAATCTTGCGTCGTACAGTGTACTCAGATCCTAAAGTTTAGGACGTTTTCTCTACATTATTTTCAAACTATTTTTCAATATATTTTTTAGACATAAAGGCGAGTTAAATTATTTTCAGAATTTATTTGCGTTATTATCGACAACTCTCCGTACTAATCGATATAAAAGAATGCATGTGCAATACGCAATTATTTATTAAAAAAAAAAAAAAATAATTTTGAAGTCGTAATTTATGTACATATATGTATTAAATTAAATACATTAACTTAATACATTTAAAGAGATAAACCAGTTTTTTCAGTTAAGTGAATAATTTTTAACTTTTTAGATTTTATTTTTCTTAGTTTGTCCTTAAAATATTTTGCATTCAACTTCTTAAAATTGTTTACCTTAAAATATGTCTGCACAAATAATACAAATTTAAGATAAAATTTAAAAAACCAAAATATCATAGTATAGTTAATCGATGCTTGATTGATTCCATATATTGGAAAATTGGCGTCCCTATAATAAATGTAAATTAAAATATTGAAGTGATCACAATTTTTTGTCGACGGTTTCGAATTGCGCCCACAATTATAACTGTTAGTGTATTTCAATCGGTTTGGTGCTATAATGAACGATGACAGCTGTACGCGATATAGGGCAATGACTAATTAAATTTAAGAAATGCTATAAGATAAACTTTCTAGGTATGCCGGTTTCCATACCATTCGTGTGCAGGCGGGTCGTCGTTGATGCATACATGACATATTAAATCTAATATAATATTGTTGTTTTGTTAATTTGTTTTAATACACGCCAACGGATTTCTTAAAAAAAACGCACTTGCCTTATCTTATCTTATCTTATCTTATGATTTTTTCGTAAAAAATATTTTTTTAATGAAAATTTTAAGCACGAGGCTATTGAAGACGTGAAGCCTTGGATAAATGCTCAGTTTCGCCCCCACTCCTATCGCTGGCCCTGAATATAAATATAGATAGATTTTAAATCAGTTTTATACGTATAGCGCATGTAACATCGATACTGCGACATTAATGGAAAATCTTGAGGTAAAATGGTAATTGCGAAAAAAATTAAATAAAAATACATTGTTAAACAATAATAATAACTTAACAAAAATATTTAAGTATATGATTACATTTAAAGGTAGTCGTGTTCAAAATAAAAAAAAAAAATTAGAAAAACTCATTCATTTGATATATATATATGTATAATGGCGTAACCGGGGGGTTAACGGGTTATACTCCTCAAAATGTCTCTCTTAAATTGTAATATATATATTTTTATATAATTTCTATAATTTTAAGCAAAAGGTATAATATTATATCATATCATCGTTAAACAATTATCGCAGTTTCAATAAACTAAATAACAACACTTATATATTTTAACTTAGGTTTAATCGACTCATTAAAATTAACAATTGACACTTAGATAGAAGAGAATTGACAATTTAAAACAACTATATAGTAATGTAAAACGTGCGCAATTCGAATCTGTTATTGAGAATCTACGGACGTAACTCGTACGTGTCGTGAATGAACCACGCACCCACTCACAGGCAAAATATTATTTTTTCGACACAACTCGATCGCATCGGTTAAAATATAACGCCTGATTAGGTGATACGTGGGGTAGGTACGTCAAGGCTGGGTATTAACGAGTTAAAAGTTAAAATTAAGTTAAAACTTTAAGTTAATTAAGTCGTTATTTTTTTTACGAATTAACTTTTACTTAAAAAGTAAAAACTTAAAAAGTTACTTTTTTTTTAAGATTAACGTGTTAACTTTAAGTTAATTTTATTTAAAAGTATCTAAATTAAGTTAATTTTAGTGCAATGAATAATGCAAATTATTAAATTAGGTTTTTAGTTTATTTATAATTTACTATTTAATATGAATTTTCTTTAGACGAAAATAATATGAAAAATAACTTTAATAGTCATTATGTGGGCTATATTTTATCATTATATTTTTATAACATTGTTATTATATAAACACTATAAACTCATAGAAATCCTAAAAAATATTCTGTGAAAATAGTAAATACCATGAGAGCAAGTGTCGATGGGGGATTAATCACAAAACAACTGTAGTATAATTTCCAATTTAATTTCATTATTAAAATTGTAAATCGATTTGAGTATGAGTTCAGGACTAAGATTTATTTTAGAAAAGTAGGTTTTTTGATCGCTAGTTTATACTTTAATGTATCATTTCAAATTTTTCCAGTAATTTTCTTGAGCGTAAAAAAACTAATATTATGTGTGCAATTTTTTATTTTTCCAAATTAGAAAATTTTAACTTAAAACTAAGTTAAGTTAATTTTTTTCAAAGTTAACTTTTAACTTAATGAGTTAAAGAAAAAATATAAGTAACTTTAAATTTAACTTAACTTTATTATTTTGAAATAACTTAACGAGTTAAAAAAAATCGTTAACTTGCCTAGCCTTGGGTAATGTTGCATTGGGTGATCGTATGCACAGAATGATACGCGTGGTTACCTATTCTAAATTCCACAAAAATCTATTGCGCGAAACCCTCTTAATTGTTGAATGTACGCCTCACTCAGGTGGTTTGGGGCAAGGATTTGCCAAGTGGTGAACTGAATTTCTTCTCTGTGTCCGAAGACGGTACAGTCTGCCAATGGTTACTGGTAGAATTCGAAATGGTCAAGATTGTTATAATGACTCTTATCATAGAGATGGATCCTGAAATTGAACTTGGCGGAATCAAACAGACGTACTACGGTAACATAGATTTACATATTAAATCCGTTTTTACGCGTGTTCTGGCAGTGGTGCGATGCGATGTATATTTATAAGTATTTGTTCACAATTCGTGTACTATTTTTTTCCAGCCAAGGGCACGACAATCACGTTTAATCCAAATAACGACGAGTTATACATGGTAGGCACAACCGAGGGATACGTTTATAAATGTAATACGGCTATGAGTAGTTTTACGAAGAAATTTCGAGCTCACGAAATGGAAGTCAATCGAATTGATTATAATAAATTCGATTCGAATATTTTCATTACGTGTAGCAATGATTTCATGGTGAAGTTATGGGAAGACGATTCAGAGTGAGTTTAGACATAATTTTTTTAATTGATTCATATTATGTAACTACAACAAGCCTTCTGCCCTATAAATAACCATTAGATTCCTTTTTCTATTTCGTAGTACTTGTCGTGATATATGTGAATAAAATGTATATGTGATACAAGCATATTTATAAAACTATGTTGTATAATTATATACGTAAGCGTATACTTACATAATTTTGTCACTGCCTAAAACTTTTCAACTGTATGCAGTAATGTGGCGAACCTAATTCACTAATGAGGAACAATAATTTTTGTTATCGGATCCACAAAAAAAAAAAAAAAAAATAAATAATTAACTTTTTCGAAGAAGATATTTATTTATTTAAATAACAATACTTTTTTTAATACATGATCTTCTTAGTGGTGATATTGCTTCTTTAAAATCAATTTTGAAGTTTTTTTAACAGTTCTGAAACATTTAACTTTAAATATCCCCGTGATACCGACTACCAATTTAAATTGAGGCTTTAAATAAAGTCTTTCGTCATGCCACTAACTATATGTGCATGTGTGTGTGTATGTGCGTGAGTGGAAGCTCTTGTGGAAGCTTTGTCATGTTTCGATTGCAGAGGGCCGTTGATAATGATAAATCTAAGAAGAGCATTGTGCGATGTGCATTGGTCGCCGTTTTCCAGTACAGTTTTCGTTATCCTTACTGTCGATTGTCACATGATATTTTACGATTTGAATGTAAGCTTGAAAAAACCCGTTTGTGATCAGCTCATACAATCTGCTGAAGAAGATCGCCCCACTAGAATGATTTTCAACAAACGAGTACCGATGGTCTTGGTCGGAAGTTCAAGGTAAGATACGTAAAATTACATGTATATTCGTAAAAATTTTCAAATTCACGTGGTAGCTGACAAAAACGTTGCATTTTCATAGATTTTTATTTTTGGTTAAGGAAAAAAGAAATTATATCCATATTAAACCAAATTACATCTCGGAAAAGTTTTGATGTTTTACTATTTTATTTTTAAAATCATGTGTGTTGTACGAGAAGTAACCATGTGCATTTGTTTTCGCAGGTCTACGGTAATTACGTTTAAATTATCACCGGGTCTTCGGGCAACGATGAAATCTCCGAAGAAAGGAGTTTTAATTTCTGTGGAAACTATGGAGTTGGAAAAATTGTATGCCATTTTGGACACGTTCAGAAAAAAAACCAATAAATCAGTTACATCATAGTTTTCCTGCGTTTGCAATGAATGATGATTATATTCTTGTTGTTTGTTTAGGAGCTTAATTCTGTAGTTTTACTGAATTTAAAAATTAATTTCCGTAAGAACATAATGGCGTGAAAAAAATTCGACTTTTTTTTATTTAAAAGTAGGGTTGCAAAGTTTTTAAAACAATCGCGTTTTTTGATGAATTTATAATGATATATTTCATTATACTTTTTATAGTTTTCAATGTAAGATCAATTTCGTCGTTGTCGTTCTTCATTTTTCTTATCATCAGGTATTTTTAAAATGTGAATACTTCAAATACTTCTAATTTTGATGTATACATCTGTTTGAACCTCATTAATAAGGACAGCTAATCAGCTCATTATCGACGGAGTATGTTTATAAAAGCTTTGATTGAAAAATGAGTGGAACGACTCGCAAGCATTAATGGTTCTATCAAAACTTACCGACTCACCATCCAACATTTAGGTGAAAATAAACGTTCATTTATTAACTTGTCAGTCAAGTAATCACAGTATTTTTCAATCTTTTACCATCATTATAATCCAACATAAAATAATTTACAAAATATTCTTATACTTCATTTTGGTTTAAAAATAATAATCCAAAAATTTTTCCAATCCATTGCCCTATTTCAGATGTCATTATTCATTTTTTTTTTACATTATAAAGTAAAAAAAAAAAAAAATTAATCAATTCAAATTCAAATTGCAAATTTGAAAGAAAACTGTTTTGGCTTAAAAGGGAGCGGTGATAAGTGTTAGTCGAAAAGGGAAGGGTACATTTTAGCCGAAAGAAGTATCACCTCTTCAATTGTATGCATTAGTTCCTAAATTAATATATAATAAATGTTAATAAATTAATATTGTCCGTTTAGGCACAATCAACAATATAGTATACATTTAAAACAATACGTCTCTATTAGTTCAACAGATAAAAATTATAAAATGGTAAAATATTACATAATCAAATAATTTGCTGCAACACAATATATGTGGATAAATTATCCTTGAATTCGACTATAGGTATCAGTACCGCAACTACAAAATAGGAAGCCCGTGTGCAGTAATTATATTAGGTCCTTTCTTAGGATTTATTTTTGTACGTCTTATTTATAAGTATCAATTTTTTAGGTTTTAAAACACGTTTCACATCAGTTAGTGTATGATACATGTATATATATATATATATATATATATATATATCAAATTAAATACCTACAACTGTTGTATATTATATTTCACTACATATTTATGTAGTAAATGTATTTAAGTAGTTTAGGTAGGTATGTTGTATACCTACTCAAATACTCAATGGACTCATTGTTAAATAAATATTATATTACTTTAAAATATTATAACATCCTTACATGAATTTTAAAAAAAAGTTTCTTTTTATTATAAAATAATAATATAATATTATTAAATAATTGTGTATTTGTAAAGTGTAGTTTATTTTAGGCTGGGACTAGAAGGCCCTCCAAATGTATATAAGCCTTGGGGCCACTTTGCACACCCGGTTTTTGCGGTACTGATAGGTATATAGTTATATGAATATATTATATTTTAATTAACCGTTATTAATGGTTAAAAAATAATTAATAGAATTTAAGCAAACATTATTTTTACTTATGTTATTCAATATACAAAAGAAACGGTAGAATGTATAAAATCGTTCATGTATATTTCAGACATGATAAATGTATGATAAATAGTTAGTTATCATAACAAATCTGTATTTATGTTAATGAACAATGTTGGGAAAGAAAATGCAAAATTTATCTAGATAAAAAAAAGATATTTTCAAAAAATGTTATTTTTTGGTCATTACTTCACATTCTAATAATATCTATGAAGACTCAATTATAATTATTATTATCAATAGGTACCTAGGTGTGTTTAATTTTTATTATTTATATATTTTGTTATATGTTTATGTAGTGTACCATTAAGCAGTATATATATAATGTACAATATTTAATGATGGTTAATCATTAAAATAATACGTAAAAAAAAAAAATGAAAATTGCTTTATACGTATCAGGATGAATTCAAAATACATAAGAAATCATTTCAAGTTAATAATATTGTTTTCCGTATAATAATTTGATGGTTTTCATTATTCTATAAGTAGTTACGACTTTACGGGTTCCAAGAGTGAAGTAATGGCTATTCAGTGTATGAGTGACATGTGTATACTAGAATCAAATACTTACTATATTTGGAACTTCCGTGGAAAAATAAGAAATTCAGTTTAAAAATACTAAAAGTATTTTCCCAACATGAAAATACAAACAAAATGTCGTATCAAGAAATAATAATTACTCATTAATAGTACATGAATTTTGATTATGAATACAAAATCTATATGTATAAAAGAAAGTCAGGTTAGTTACAGAATTTATAATTCAAGAACGGCTGGACCGATTTTGATGATTTTTGATTTGTTGGATTCATCTCCGTTCAAGAATAAAAATAACTCTAATCTTTGCAATTATCTAGATAAGTAAAAATTTTATCTTAGATAAGTAATTAGATAATTTAGCATTATTTATCTAGATAAGATAAAAGATGACAAAAAATCTATCTAGATAAGTCCCAACACTGTTAATGAACCTCATATGTGCTCCGAAGTCTTAATCAAAGAATGGTCGTCAAATCGAATGTAATGTTTTACTTATTTTCAATGAATTATACTCGTAACATGACTACCTTATAATACAGTTACTTTGGTAACAACGATAATCGTGACCAAACATGCATTTATTTTTGTACAATGTTATAACTGTTATTTTACCATTAACGTAGTATTAGCGTAGTTACTATGCACGTACGGTTTGATGAACAGAAAAATAAAAAAATGTTTTTCGTCGTACAAGAAATCCAAGACTTATTGCACATAATAACATGTTGATGTTTAAAATGAATACATTTAATAATATCGTTACACAATTGAAATCTTTTTATTTTAACATTATTATAATTGTGTTCTAATGTGTATATATATATAATAATAATCTGTGTTATAATTTATAAACATTATTATTAAACAATATTTACACACGACTATATCGTATAAAACTTTAAAATGTCGTCGAAAAAAAAAAATTCATTGACAAAAGCCAATGATGAGGAAGTAACGGAACAGGTTATCAATGCAATATCAACTGACTTAAGCAATGGTAAGAAATTTCTTTGAATATTTTAGTGAAGTATTTATACCTACTCCAAATATTAATATTTTAGAATCAGTGGAGTCGACAACAAATCTCGACGACGATTTAAAAATTATGACCATACCAAAAATGTTACATGAACATTTTGAATGTGTCGTAGGCAAAAATGTTTTTATAGACAAACCATGGACACAGATTTCTCACAAAAAAATATTAGACCATTTACAGAAAGAGAAATCGGACTCATGTTTTTGGAAGTTTCGAAAAGAGCTTGAAGTAATAAGAAACTATCATTATTTTTTATTTTCATACTGATCTCGCACATTGAAATTTATCAATTTTTTATTCACACATTTTACAGTTTTAATGCACTAATATAGTTTATTATTGTAATTAATAATAGACTATACACGTTAGGTTACTATCAAATGTGAAGTATCAACTTAAAAAACTTAAAAAAATAATTAAAAAAAACTATAAATGAGATAATTTTATTAACGAGATAATTGTTTTGTTCATTATCATTATAGATTACTTGATTTGAAAAAATTAACCCACGTGCATGATTAAATATTATATGGTTTCGATTCCGACTCAGAATTAGTATAACAATATTACACGTTCAGTATGGTCGGCTATAAAGTTAAAAGCGAGGTTAAAATTATCTTTGAATAAAAAATTAAAATATAAATACAGATATATAAAATATAATATATGATAATATTGGTAATACTATAATAGTAATTAATTAAGGATTTTAAATTTTAGTGATGGTAAATATGGTTAAAAAAAGTTTTTCTCTTTTTTATTTTTTCTGATCAGTTTAAAGAGAACGGCTACATATCAATGATTTCTTGTATCTTTAATTATTTTTGTTGAGTTTTTCAAATGAAAACAAAAATTCGATTTTTATCAAAACCTGGTACCAATTCCATACATTTTGTAGTTTTTTTTGTGTCAGTTTTTCGCAATTATGTCGAAAATTGTTGGAAAATACGTAACGTTACCTTCTTTTAAAGTACCAACTGGATAACGTTCTTAGTAGAAATCATTAATAATTATGATGATCGGAGTAATCCTTAAGGTTGAAATCATGTATAATGATATAAAAAAACAACCGCAACGTTATTTTAAAAAAGATGAAATAATAAAAATGACAAAAGAAAATCGAAGTTTAAATTTTTGTAAAATACAAAAATCGCCAATGGAATTAAATTTAAATAAAATAAATGCACTTATTATTAATAACAATAAATAATTTGGCTAATATACATTATCACAAAAATTAATGAAATTAATGTTAATTATTAATTAACTGTTACTTATATTATAAGTATTATTTATAACTATTATTGTAACTACTATCACTTCTTTAGTATTTACTTTTAACTCGTTGATCTCAATTTAACTACTAAAGATTTATGTGTGCGCATTAATTTGATAAGTTTGTTAATACAATTATTTTACTGCAGGCTATACAAAACGAATATGTTTTGGTTGGTTATAAGGCTTTTAGTAGTACAGACGAAGAATTTCTGATTTGTACCACTGATAGAGCTGAACAATTTATCAAACAGACGCAAGTACAAATGGAGCGTGAACAAAATATCGAACGATCAATGCTTCGCGTGCCGAAACCTTGGGAGTCTAAATGTAGTGAAAAAGATATTGAAGACATAAAGTCAGTATCGGCACGAGAAAAGGTGAAAATTTACCATATATTCACTACACTTTTGTTAAATGCGTTTATTTAAGCAATATTTTAACTATGATTAGGACTCAGATGTTTATGCACTTAAAATGACTGTATTATGTATAAATTTATGCACAAAAAAATTATCAAATATGCAAAGTAAGATTAAATTACTTTTTTTGTTTATTCAAGTAATCACTCATAGCATATTTGAAAAATGGAACATAGAAGTTATGACAAAAGATAAAATATAAATCATTTATTTACAGATAACATGTATTTGGAAACTTTCAACCGAAAGGCTCAAAGAAGAAGCAAAGTTTGAAGTTTCAACTTCAAAATCTATGAAAAACCAACACGTAAAATTAGAACCACGTTATTCTAAAGACAAATTTGAATGTGCTGATGTATTAACAATGGACACATGTGTTCAGGTAATTGTTTCGTCTGTTTAATTTGTTTATATCATGTATTATTATGTACGGATGCTGGATTTTATAGTATTTTGAAAAAACATGGCTGTCAAAAATATAACAAGTTTAAAGTAGGTAATACAAAATTAACATAACAACTTAATAACATGAATTAATTCTTATAAACAGGGGCTTAATTTCTATGAAAAAACTGGGGGTACTAAAGCTCTTCTATCTTTTTTATGTTCCTTAATGGTTATAGACAACCACAAACCGTATAATTTAATAGTTACTAAAATATTTGGTAAATATATGAATATTTCTAAATTTAAATTGTTCACTTTAATTTTATATTTTTATTGCGCGTATAATGAATTACTTGTCTGTAAACACAAATATTTTATCACATGATCACTTTTAGATTCTGACTGAAGCGAAGGATATTATGGTTTTATAATGATGTTTGTATTTTATTTGTTTAACACTTTTTCGGATAGAAATACTGGTCCAAAAGTTTTTTTTAGGATTTTTTTAGATTTTAAATTGGCATGCGTTGGTACTTTAGATAGGTAGTTTTTTTAAATCATAATAGTTTTTCTAGACGCGAGGAAAAAACTGTCCTAAAATAGTAAAAATACATTGTAAATAAGACTTTCACATTTCAAATTTTAGTTATTTAGTCATAATTCTAAAAGTAATGTGGCTAGAAATTTGAAACTTTTATCCTATAGCAAAGATATTTTTATTTCATATTGTGAAATATTTTGTAATGTATAAAAATTTATATATTTATACAAAAAAACTCAAAACCTATTATGTTTCTCTATACATAATGAGTAATGAGTGTTTAAATATAAATCAACATAAACATATTTGGGGGTGCTAATTTCGAAAATAGGGGTGCCAAGCACACCCAAACTCCCCCCCACCCCAAATTGCGCCTATGCTTATAAGCAATCATCAATGTTCAAATAAGTAACTAGAACTTTAATATTTGATTAAAAATATTGTAGATGAAAATTTTAAAAAGTTCAAAGAATTATATCTTATAATGAGGAATAACAATATTTAATATATAAATTTATTATTATTATATTATTTATAAACAAATAGTTTAAATAAATAAGTAAACAAATGAAAGCTTAGCCTAGAGTATTATTATATTTGTATAGTACGATCGGTTTCAAATTAAAAAGTAATTATCAAGTATATTCAAAGTTAATAAAATAGCGACTGAATATGGAAATATAAAAGAAGGAATACATCGAGAAAAATTAGTCATTTTTTATAGAAATAATTAATTTTAATTTAGGAGATTTAAAATGAGGTCTTATTAGGTGTAGATATGTTAAGAAGTATGAATACTTTGGTTATTATTATTTAAAATATTATATATTTAAATAAGATTTAAAGATTTAAATATATTTATTTTAATTAAAATTTTTTTTTCAATTTCATTGTGTTTGTTTTAACATTTGTTTTCTTTTAACTCTTCTCAAACTGAATTAATGTAAATTTTATTTTGGTTATTTAATATTTCTAAGTTTGTATTGATATCAAAATGTATATTATGATTATTTTCTTAAACATGTTGAGAAATATTTTAATTAGGGGCAGTCTTTTTTAATTTTATTTCAAATTCTTATATCTTATTTTAAAATTTCTGTTTTTCTTATCTATATAAATTATATTATTATTTAATAAAATTTAGTAAACTTATTTTTTAGGCTACCAGAAAAATGGTCAATAGGGAAATGCAAACTATTCCAAGAATCAAAGATAATAAATGTATTCAGTCTGTTGCTGTAGAAGAAGAAATGTTTCAATTTCAACCGCTAACTAAATCAGACAAGGCACTAGATGATTTCTTAGATAAACATGTACCAAAGTAATTATTTATAATTTGCATAACCATTAATGAATGTGTCTATATTTAAATTATAATACATATATTTTTCACTCCAACCGAGCTTATTTAAAAAACAGATTGGTTCATTTAGTATTATCTATGGATTTTATGGACTTATGTATTTCAAGTGTAACTTTTAATTATATTTAGAATAAATAATTACTAGTTATGATTAAAAATTTGATTTTGTTTTAGGTTTTACGATAGGGGTTGATTTCTTATTTTAAACGCTTTTTCTAGTCTTTTTTTTTAAAAAAATTTGACACCAATTCAGCGCTTGAGTTATAATAAGGCATATTCATTATATACATTATTAAAAGTTAAAGATTATTATTTATGGAAAACTTTATAAATCTAGTTTAGTGGATCAGTTGCATTATAATGATTTATACGATTTATACCGTGATGATTATAAATTGTTAAAAAATAAAAACGAAAATGAAAATGCAACCGAACAAAACTCCAAGGACATAAATATTTTTCCTGGGTATCAAAATACAGGATCTAAAAACAAATATGTATCTTCTCATACTTGGCACCCGACAATACCAGGTTTGTATCGATATCTATTATATTTAGCTATATACTAGTAATAGCTAAAATAATGTTCATAAATGATTTATAAATTGAATTACATGTAAAGTATTGAACTCTCAGGCATTTTCGCAATATCTTACACGTCCAGTAGTAACGCATTATACAAATCCGTTAGCTTAGAAACAGCTACCGAGGAAGTCGCAAAATCCATCGGCAAAGATATGGGTTCATACAGCAGTGATAATGACAACAATGTAGAGCATTCGAACGACCAGTCAGAAGTTAAACTCGTGGACGAGAATTATAAAGAAAAAATAATATCATTGTTAAATATGGAATTTGTACAGGTTTATACATTAATTTTTAGTCGGTAAAAAATAGATACCAATTATCAGTAGTAATCACTAATCATAAATGTTAAATTATGAATATTATGATTTGAAGAGAATGAGAGTGATTCAAGTAACTGAGGAGGAAAAATCTAACGATCAGTATGGTCAAGACATTAAAAGACAGTTGCGCAATTTCTTTAATTATAAACCTCACGAACAGATTTTTATACCCAGGGATTTATCCGTAGCTCGACCAGGTTATAATATTACATACTTGATTATTAATATGCCCTAAGAAATGTTGATATTATTTAAAAATGATATACTTTTTTTATATATTATGTACATATTTATAAAATATAGGTATACTTGTCTATTTTTAATACAAATTTTTTTTTATTAGATGATGACAGTTTAAATGATGAGAATAAAATTATGAATGAAATACAAAATGAATTATCTTATATTGAAATTTTAAATAATACTGATCAATCAGACGAGTCTGTGGATGTGGATGTCAATGAATGTAAGTCACAGATTAAAGGACGTATAAAAGTGTCGAGCTCTACGAAAATGATGCCATCTACCGTAGAAATAGATGGAGGTGAATATAGGGATAAGGTGGAGCATCACGATTCGGACACGGAAAGTTTTTACAACATATGGGGTGATGACGAAGAATGGATGTATGGAAATGAACTGAGAAATGTTGTTCGAAATTTACATAGGTAAAAGTTATATATTTTAATTTTTTTTAAATTATATAAACAAACAAACTAATTGAATAGGAAGTTCAATAAAAAATACGATCGAGAAGCAAGGGAAAACAAATTGTTTAGACTTTTGAAATCCGAAGCCGAGTACACAAAAATGAAAAATAAGTAATGTTTTTATGATTCTTTAATTTTTAATTATATCTATAATTTTTATTGAGTTAGTTTTCGATATCATTAAACAGAATTGACGATATGGAAACAGAAAGAATAAAACTAACCAAAGACATGTTCGAAGCAGGATATAAGCATCAAAAACTAAAAAATCAGTCTAAGAAGAGAAAAAAATCTTCATTGGGACAAAACAAAGTGATTCGAAATTGTGAAGATCCATTGATGAAACGAGAGAATGTTCCACCAGTATATGAACAAAATTCGGTCATTATTTGGTCGATTAATGATAATATGTTTCCAAAGGTATTTCAACAGTGTTGATTATTTTATATTATTTTAATAAATGTATTAAATATCTGATAGATATTATATGTTACATTATTATTATTAATTTAATTTATCACACAATATTATAAACATATATAATATGTAATGAACCTCACTGAGAAGGCAAGTGTGAGGGACCATTGAATGACTATATGTAATGACAAATATATTTTTTGTGCATATGAAAATATGCACAATATTTATAATATTTTATAATATTTTATTATACTTGTACTTTTTGAAATTCATATTTAGTTGATATTAGAAAGCTCAGAAGAAGTGTATTGTGTTGAATTCAGTCCTAGAAATGGTAATACAGTCGTTGGAGGGTTAGTAAATGGACAAATATGCATATGGGACATCAAAGAAAAATTGGATAAGATAGATTCAAATAATTTAACCATGTCGGAGAAGAAAAAAAAGCACCATAGACATCTTGTAATATTTATTTTTATCTAAGAGTACCATACTGAATCGTCATAAAATATTAATATATATTAATATATATTTGTTTACAGTGGATGCATATGCAATGGTCATTAGAAGTACAGTTTAAAACTAGAATCAAACCAGCAGCATTGAGTGCCATTTTAGAATCTCACGAATCAATGGTGACTGCAATTCAATGGATTCATCCTATGAATGAAGTTAGTTGATTGTTGATATATATATATTCGGAAAGCCATGGATCCTAATTTTTACTTTAAACGATAATATATTTTAAATGTTTTTTATGAAACAATTTGAGTTGTTCAAATTAAGTTACCGATTTTTTTATTAGAGTTTCTATTTTTTATGCTATAAAATATAAAATCAGTATATCAGTTTTAAATACCAAGGAGTTAATTTTCAAACAAATATCTCATGAATATATTATATTCATTTTAATAAATACTATAAATATGATAGTGCTTAATAAATCATTAAAATATTAGTTTGATACTCTGAAACTTGGTAATATCAACTGTATATGTGTTATACGACAAAAGTTAAATACACGTTAAAAAAAATAAAAAAACGCATTATTTATAGTAAATACTAACGTGTTATGTGCACATAAAAATACTAGGTAGAATTTATTGTTTTATTTAGATAACGTCATTGGGTAAGCTCGTAACCGTAAAAGAAGGACAGTTCTCAGATCAATTTTTTTCTGCCTCCATGGATGGAACTATAAAACTTTGGGATTTGCATTCGACTCCGATACCTAGGTCACAGCAAAACATTGAAAAAAAAACTCGATTTCCGTATCCAGATAAGTTGGACAGTTATAAATCACCATTGAGCATTTACAACAATTGTTTAAAGCCTTTGTATACGGTTAGTGTTACATAAATACAAAGAGAGTACGTGACATGCAATGTTATAATTAGTTAATATAAAATAAAATTTTGTATTTAAATAAAATGGTGTATGGTATTATAACTATGAAAATTTGCTTACTTGTGTCTATACGAGTATATTTTAATCGTTTATTTCTATCCATACCTACATATTTTAGATAATCATCACAAAACCAGAAACTACAATGCATAGTCCTATAACCGCTTTGTCTTTTGAAATTCCTGTAATGCAATATAAATATACCTCCAATCAGCCGTTAGAAATCGGAAAGCGGCAGTTCGAATACGGTATTCAAATGTTGATATTGTAATACAGTGCAACATATTTGAATATTTGTAAAGTTTATGTTTTACCGCAGTACCAACCATATCGGATGATCCAAATCGCATTTTGGTCGTTGGCAGTATTATGGGTGATGTCGGAATTGTCACTTGGAATGGTTACGAAATTCATCAGCAGGGCCAAAACAAGGAAGGTACGATACTCTGCAGGAAAAACGTGCAATAAGAGCATACGTTTGTAAAAGTTATTAACTTGTAGAATGTAAAAATATTTGGTGGGGACATGTACACGACGGACCGATTAACTGCATCAAGAGAAATGTATTTTATCCGGACTTGCACTTGGTCTGCGGCGGGCATGTGGTGTCCATCTGGAGTTTAAATTACGAAGTAAATTTTAAAAACATAGAACTAGTTAGTAGATTTAAATCAGTGTGAAGATTTAATTTCACTATAGAAAATTTAAATAACTGAGTATATTTAAAGACTAAAAATATTAAAATATTTAATTTTCTTAGTTGATATAATATTTATACACTATATTGTAAAGGTTTATACTATTGTAAATTGACATTATTATGTTACACTCTAAATTATTTTTATTTACTTAAGGGTGGTCCAATTTGGTGGAAACGATTCTCCGATTTTACAAACAGTGTATTATGGTCCACTATTCATCCAGCAGAATTTCGAGTGTCTTTCAACAGTAGCGGTGTCCTACAGTTTTGGAATTTCATGAAATACACTCACCAACCTTATTACGAGTCGAATAATCTTAACATAACTGGTGACGGACTTATAGGATGTAAGTATAGATCAAAGTTATACCTATACTATATTAATTATATAGTTCGTATTTGTTGATGTTTTTTTGTTATACCTTTAGGCATCTTGATAGAACCGTTAGTTTTTTATATCTTTTTGTACCATGTATTTACTTGCAGCATTGTCGACTCCTCTTTCATCAATACATTTTATTGATGCAGAACAACTAAAATTTTCGGAAGGCATCAATGAATTGCTAAATTACAACAAAAACGAGTTAATTGGTTTTTCGGATTCCAATGGGATGATATGGATGATCACCATAAGTGCAACAATACTAGAAAAAAATAAAATCGAAGAGGTCGGCAATATATTCCAGAAAGAGATCGATCGGAGACGAGAATTGGATGCGTGGAATATAAAATATAAAGAAGAATACGGACCTGTAGAAGAAAACGAAGTGGACGATTCTCATTGCGAATCAACTGAACCATTTGAACAAATTTCGGAGAACGATGACGTAAAACTACTACCAAAATCAAAATCAATAAAGAGACAAATTTGTCATGAGACCATCAAGTGAATTAATATATTTTAGTACTTATATAGAATTTAATTAAGAATCAAATTTTTTTTTTGAACGATTTCAGATGGTATTTGAACCGATGTGGATCTAAATCACGTTTAACGAGAGAAAAGTTCACAGAACGTGAAAAGCGACATATGATAGAGACTCTGATGCAAAAAAAAAATGTGAATCAACAACAGTTGGATGAATACATAAGAAATAATGAGATGAAAACATCTGATGAGAGTAATGTTAAAAAAATAAGATTTAAATCAGATGAAACATATAAACACATTGTAAATAAATTATTAGTTGCCGAAGAAACTAAAGAATACGTAAGTATGTTTTAAATATAACGCAGAATAAAGTAATACGTTTATATGTTTAAAAATAAAACATATACATCTATTAAGTCGTTTATTTTACTGTTATGTGTAATATTGTGTAAAGGGGTTGGATATCGATTCACAAAAAAACGTTGAGTCAGAAGAAATGAAACAGATATTTGAAAAGATTCATAATATTGTGGTGACGGACTATGAATTTAAGAAAGAAAAGTTAAACAGTTACATTAAAAACAATCCCTACAAAGCAGCGCAAGAAGATTGGGCTCAAGTAATCGAGTTTGCAGAAAGAGAAGACAAGGACGTATTAAACGATCCTAATATTCTTAAAGGTCCAAACATACGGTACATGGTTTTTAATTGTAAATTACTATTGTAGATTAGTTATGGCCAAGATAAGTCAGACATCTTATCTAGTACATGTTTTCAATTTTATATCAATAAAGCATGATGTACCGAAAACTGTCCAAGAAGTACATTGACGAAGGTTATAAGATTAAAGAATGGAAAAGCCGCAGAGATCAACACGCGGACGATCGGTACAAAATGAGAGAGAGTAAAATCAATGAGTTGAAAGCCATCTATGGAAAAAGTTATAACCCTTACTGGGACAAGGGTCTTAAACCATTAAGAATGAAGGATGCTGTCCGGAGGAGAGTGACCGAGATAGATGATGACAACAACAAACAATTGCACGAGAGTTATTCCCAAGAAGAAAATGGTAATCATGACCATACATATAACACTGCAACGTATCAAATAATATTATTCTGTTAGTTTTCAATAATAATTTTGCAGGTGACAGTTGTTATACAGATTATTTATCGTTCACGGAACCTGACACCATATCAAACAATCCCGATCAAACCGGAAAAGATATATCAGAAAAATAACACAACACAAATCAAATTAAATTATAATACCACATTTATTATTATAATTGTATTTATATATAACAATATTTATAACTTAAAACTTCTATAACTGAAAATACATGAAAAAAATCCATATTTACAATCGAAATGTTTACTTAGAAATGAGAATCTAATTGCAACTAAAATGTAAAATGGCTGACACCATTTATTAAGATTTTTATCAGTATTAGTTTGTCACTATCAATTCAAAGTCCAAAGATTACCGATAATGGTGGAGCTTAGGAGGCCTTTATAATAAAACTGAATGAAATATTTGTTATCATACGATTCATAATTTTTGTTTTATATTTTTTGCATTCCGAAAGTAAGATGATAAATGTAAAGGTAGAGATATAAATAAGGGTTCTGATTGAATAATTCCAAAATATTCATCATCTCATCGCTGTGATCCTAAAAGTATTACGACCAATAAGAATAGTACTTGACACTAGTTTAAATTTCCGTACGGTTGTGCAATGTACTATTAATTGTGAATCTTGATTGCTAGATAAAAATATTCAATAATTATACCCACAATGGTCATTGTTAAAGGAATGATGATACAAGTGCATCAAGCCAGAAATTTTTATGAACATTTTAAAAATTATAAATAATCAGTCCAACTTATAAATAACAACCATAGAAATTTAATTATGGGGCAAAATTAGTAGATTGTAAAATTTGATTAATTTTGTATAGGATGATTTTATATTTTTAACTTTTCGATTTATTTATATTTTTATGAATTTATACGTATATTGTAATATTACATATATTAAGTTATATATACTCTAAAATATATTAGAGATCAGTTAAAAGTTCAACCAATCACAGTACCATGAAGTGTAATTTCCATGATTGAAACAGCAAGTTTATCATTACTGGGTAAAAATTAATTTATCATTCCTCAAGCTGGAGGAAACATATGGTACACCTAATATGTGGTTTGAAATACAATTTTGAATTAAATGTATAAGTACAAGATTATTAAATTTTAAAATTTACTTTTAGTGAACACTTGTTGCCAATTCCTATGCAATGTATCTAGTGGAATACAAAACTTAATGCATCACATCACTTATGTGAACATCATAGGCGCAACTAAAGTAAAAATTCTGGGAAGGCTATAGCCCCAAACAACTGTATTGGTTTCCATTTGAAATGTTATTTATTTATAATCTAAAAATAAATACTTATACAAAAAATTGTTATTCTATTTATTTAAATCCGTCAGCTTTTTAATTTATTATATTTTTCTAAAATTCATTATTATTTATATTAAATCTTTGTATTAACTTTCTTAAATATTTAAAACTTATCATGGTCAAAATTAGTAGAAATTATTTTTATAATAATAAATATAAAATAATAATATTTTTTATTTATGTTTCTAAAAAATATTAAGGGGCATCTCGACAAAAGTTTACTTTCAAATATAAGGAAACCTAATGTGTAAAGTTTTTCTTTTCTTGCTTTTACTTGATTAATATATAAGCTCATGTATAAAATAAATTGTTTTTAGTTGACTAAAACAAAAATGACTAACGATTACTAACACATTTTTGTTCTTTTGTTGTGCGTTAGGCTAACTAAGAATATTCTAAATTGTTTCTACATACATTTTACGAAATTCAAATTATAATAAAAATTTTTGCTAACGCCTGAGTACTTGAATGCTGTTGTCGGTTGTTCTTCAGTTGCTAGTTTGTGATCGTTTGTTAAGTGAAAAAAAAACAAGATAAAATAAAAATAAAATTGATAGATACAAGAATTATAGTTATTTTATACAAAAAATGCGGGCTGTGGTAGGCGACAGCGACCGGTTGACCACTTGCTGACCACTAACCACTTGCATATTTAGGAAGCCTCCAATAAATCAGGAGCTCTAAAGTTTCACTTTATCAACTTAATCCCTAGATGTGCCACTCCGTATAAGATGTTTTCACATCAAAAATATTTTGCACTCAACAATGTTACTCATAATATTGTAAATATGAAAAAAAAATACACGTGGGCGAAGCCAGGTATTCAGCTTGTATATATATATATATACCAATATATAGTATATAATATATATAATATAGCAGAGGCGGCTGACCTTTTTTCAGCTACGATCTATTAAAAATTTACTTCATCTTTGAAGATCGACTTTCTTGGAAAATTTTTTTATAAAACAGAATAAAAGATAAAAACCATACAGATAAAACTTTTGACAATTTGTTCATAACCACCACGATTAATTTTCGTGCATGTGACCTAAAAATAAATTCTAACATGATCGACTTTGAAATCGTCCACGATCGATAATGGAGTATGGCTTATGAGAAATAGATGATACACGGGTATGGCAAGGTTAAACCTTATATATTAGGTATATAAACCTCGGGTATACAACCGTATCTAGCGTATATTTTTGTAATTTGACAAATATAAATAGTAAAACTTTTGGTTATATTTATAACGTGATTCGGTATCGGATGTATTATTATTTTTCTATTATTTTTTTTTTTTTTTATGACAAATTCAAATTTGTTTTCATTTAATAAGTTTTCATTAGAAAAGTGGGATTTCAAAGACTATGTGAATTCGTGGATATCATAGATCAGCAAAAGACAATAAAAGTAAATTATGTCTGCCAAACGTACATCCGAATAGTGAAAACAAAACAAGTCTTTGGAGAATACTGATGTAAAAAAAAAAAAAAGTAAACATGATCTATTTTTTTTTGATTCAATTTTTTTTGTTTAAATTTTTTTGGTATGTCGTATTATAAATTTATACTATAAACACGTGCTTTCTAACTTTAAAAATAGATAGAGATATGAAGAGTGGTTAAATTAAAAATCAATAACCACTTTATAAAATAATTAGTCCATTTAGCATGTAGAAATATTATAGAATAAACACAAAAGTATAATATTCTATTATTAGGTTTTAAGTGATTATTAATAAAGTGAATATTGTTCGGGCGAAGCGAGAAAAATTTTTTTGGTACCTACCATATAATAGTTACTACATGAAATAAGGCGTATACCCATGATTTATTTTAGCAATACATCACTGCCTAGAAGTAAGTCTAAATACGACCTTGCGTACAACCGTTGGTTGTAATAACACTCGGCGTACGATAACAATACGCAAAACCGACGGTAAGACACAGGGACGCCCGGATGGGGGGGCCAGTGGGGGCCATTGCCCCCCCCCTGAGATTTTCGCGTCCCTTACAAAATTGGAAGTTATTTTACATAAAGCTGATCTTGGGTATTCAGTGACTATTCAACAATCCTTGTATCTAACAAGTATCTAACATTTTTTTTCATCAACAAATGATGATTCAATTAATTTATTTGCTTCAAACAAAAGGAGATTGTCATTACTTTTTGAATAAAATAATAAAATATGATGCGAATTCAATCAAATAAAGTTGTTTTTTGTTTAAACTTAATTATATTTTTTCTTATAAATATTAAAACTAATAACTAATAATGTAATTTTATATAAGCTTAAATGAGTTTTGATTTTTAAAAAATTATTAATGATAGTAATACAAAATATGAGTAGATGAAATATGTAGCAGTAAATCTTCCTATAAGTATTTAGGTACTTACAATTTTTTTGCCCCCCCTGAGCTACATTTCTGTGGGCGTCCCTGGTAAGACATCATAGACGAACGTATACAATTGGTAAGTGAAGTACTTGCCAATCACGTTTTATGTGTCCTTTTCGTAAAAATAAACGTAGAATACGACGGCCATGTCGTCGGCCTGGGCCGGGAGCGATCGACCGGCAGCCCACCAACGCTCGTTATCGCGTCGACGTACATATTCTTATCAGTCCGCGTGCAGTGTGATAACGGTGAACGGGCGGTGTCGATAACACGTTTTATTTACGTCCCGTCGCGTTGTTCTCGGTGGGACAGTTGCGGACATCACGATTTTCGTTGCGCGATCTAACGACATGTGAGCCGGCACGTTCTCGGCATTAATATTCCTTTCATTAATTGGTTTCGTCTGCGAAGCGTAACCCGTGAAACCCGAACTCTACGCGCGACTCCTCGTGACTACTTACATTACAGACTACGCGTAAGTGCTCAGGTTCGTTCGAGGTGCAACACTCTCTCCCGTTGTGCAGTTGATGGCGTTGGATATCGTTGGTCATTGTTGTTAAGATTTTCCAATGAATCATGACATTACCATAATGTAATATGGTCGGTCAATACAGGAAAGTGTTATGGACACAATGTTGTTGAATATGCAATTGAACAACGACTATCCGAACTGTAATTGGGTTGATCATTTTTTTTCCTTGGGTGGCAATGAAAACCAATCACTATCATGTCATTAGACAGTTGTTGAGATAAATAATTGTTGTTCGATTTCCATTACCTAGCTTGAACAGTTTATGTTATAATGTTATTCATAATGTGTTTATTGAACGGACAGGACAACATTTGTACCAGTGTGTATAGATAAATGTCTTAAAAAAAACAAATACAATATACGTATGTTTTCAAGTTTTTGAGATCTTAAATTCAGAACGTTTTGAAAAGCATGTTTTATGGAAGTTAATACAACAATACAATTATCTAGTTGTCTATAATCTGTACTAAATCAAATAATAGATTATAAATTATTATAATATATATTATATTATTATTATTATTATAATACTATATTATACATTATAATACTATAATACTTAATATTGCATATTTGTTTACAGAAAAGAGTTGGAAATTCATTCAAGTTGGTTTATTATTGAAAAATATTCAGTCATGCTTCGCAAAGCGATGAAATTCAATTTGTTCAACATTTCTGACATCAAAACCGTTTATCAAACATGTTGCTATTGTTCAAATCATAATAGAAAAAATGATGTAATTTTATTTTTTCAAAAACATTTTGGTAAGATTACTTAGTTTTTTTCTACAGTAGTTAATTTGAGTGAAAGTATTGATTTCTCATTTAACAGTTATTTAATGCTGATGTTAACGTTAGGTATACATTTTTGTAATAGGATGATGGAAATAAACATACATATTATTTAAAACACTGTATTTATATTTCATAAGTATAAGATTATAAATTCTAATTAAAAATGTATATGTTTTCTGAGATAAATAGAATTTTCACTGTTAATGATTAAATATGAATGATTAAAATAATGAACTATTTAAAGAAATTAAGTTAAAATGATGTACTATTTTTTTTTAGATTTACCTGTTCCTGAAATTAATCGAATTATGAATAAGTATCCATCATTTCACAATGATACTTATTCTTCATTGTACTACAATTTTTCCAACTTGATGGTAACTTAAAACAAATATTAATATTCTAAATTATAGTTGTTTATTTTTAAGAATTTAAAATGAATGTATTAACTGTTAATTAATCTAAATACTGATTGTTTAATTTGATTAAGTTTAGATTAGTTAAAAATAAATTAATATAATTCAATGAAAATATTTGTTCCAAGTGTAAAGAATTTTAAAAAATAGATCATTATCACCTTTTTTAAAGTAAAAAAGTTAATTTGTATTACTTGCTATCATATTTAATTAAAATGATTTTATTTTTATAACTATCATCGAAAGTTTTTTAAATATTTTTTTTAAGTTGTTAAATATTTTATTTGTATTAAATTCAAAACAATCAGTTTAAATTTAAAGTAAACTCATATTTTTAATAAGCTAATTATCTTACTTGTTGTTTTTTCTTATAGAAGTTTGGATTTTTAAAAGAAGACATTTTAAAAAAAATTCAAATATTAACATTTCATCCAATAACCATTACAAATTATATCATGCTTTTAGAAGAAGGAGGATTTATTAAAAGTAAAGTTGATACAAATGTTTTAATAAGGTATTATGTAGATATGTTTTAAACTATTATGATGTGCATTTAATATTATTATTTCTTATGATATTTTGTCATAAATAATATAAATTAACTATATAGAAAAAATGTTAGTAAAAAAATTATTTTAAATCATATTCAACGATCTATTCATCTCTCCTGTCCACAATTTTGATAATACCTAATACACTCATTTTAACTCAAATTTAAAAATCACGCAAATCCCTTAATTAAAGGATTTGCATGTATAAATATATTGAGCTATCTGCTATAAATATGGTAGTATTGAAACCTATTATCTTATTAATTCTAAAAAAACAATATTGCAATTATATAAACTAATTAAGTACAGTTTTTTTTGCTTCTCTATTTTCTTTAACCCAGTTTAAACTACTTTTAATTATGAAAGTGCCTTTGCTGGAAGGTATTTATATCCATCTTTCCAGTCATAAAATTATCATGTCATAAAATTAATTTAAATCACTCAAGTTATTCAACATATTGCGAATAAAATATTAAAATATATAAATAAAAAAAAAAGATCCTACAATTATAACTATTAACCATTTATCAATCAATACTTTTATTATAAATTATAATGTACATACACTTTTTTATATTTTTTTTAGTTGGAAAATTAAAATTTATTTTATTTTAAAAATTTTAATATAGATTTAATTAATATTATTTAATTATTGTAAGATTACTGATGTGATATTAATGTATATTTTTATTTATTGTATTTTATTAAAGGTTTAAATTTATATCGAAAAAGTCTATTGCTACATTAAAAGACCTAAACTTCATTAATAATGATACAAATGTCCAACATCATATATTATCATTTACAACATTTCCAAGAGAGTTGTATCCAAAATCCTGTGATGATTCACTTTCATGGAATCAAGTTCAGACAAACCTATTTAAATTATTTGTTGGATGGAAAATTAAAATGAATTTACAAAAAATTCAATATGCACAAAGTATTTATCATAGACTTCATAATAAAAGCTTCAGACGTACAGAAGAAACTATAGATATTTTGCTCAATGAATTTAATTTTAGTGAAGACAAGGTAAATGGTTTTATTTTTAATTTTAATTACTATTTTAATTTATCATTTGTTAACAGATTAGAAGGCATTCTTATTTAATACATAGTGATCCTGATAACACAAAAGCAATTCTAGAAAATTATAATCAACTCTGTGGTATTGATATAAAAACAGTTTTAAGTAAACATCCTAAAATAATACTTACACCCTGGAAATCAATTGGAGAAATCAAGAAACATTTTAAGGTATTGAATGCACAACAATTAATTTTGATTTAAACAAATTTGTTGATTAATAGTGTAAATAAATATGGATGTTTCGATTTGTTTTATTCAGAATGAATTATTCAGAATTCATTTGAGTTAACTTACTATTATAATTAATATAATTATTTGTACCTGTTGAAAGAAAATTATTTTTTTTTCAATTAGTAGATCTTTTAAAAATGCTATAGTATTTGGCAAAAACTATTAAATATTATTTTCAAAAATAAAAAATATATTATTGCAATTTAAAGTCTTTTTATTTTGCTTGATTCATTATGAAATATATAAATTATCTACTAAAATTAATTTTATTTGTATTCATTTTTGATTATAGGACTTTAATATTCCAGAGTCAGCACTGAAAAAAGCTCCTGAGATTTATACATTAGGAAGTAATACTGTATATGAAAGATTATGTAAATTAAAAGAAACTCCTGAGCTTGCATCATTTATTGATAATCCACAAGTTGCTCGCCTTATTTATTATGATAAAAAAGTTACTAATCGTTTGAAGTATTTAATAAATAAAAACTGCATATCATTAAATTTATTGGTTACTAATGATTCTTCATTTAAGAGGTTTTTACTGTTATTTTAATTTTGATTATTATATAGTATTAATTTCAAATAATTAATTTCTTAATACTGTCTTTATTAGATTTAATTCCAATGGCAATGATAAAGGGAAAACCAATGATATAATGGTATATTTAACTAAAGAATTAGGAGAAGATAAAATAAAATTGAGGTCATTAATGGAACGCCATCCTTATTGGCAGTATATATCTTTGTTAAACATAAGAAAAACTTATGAATATCTTAAAACAAAACAATTTACTAAAGAGCAATTGTGTCAATGTGTACATATTTTGTTATATCCAGTGTAATTAATATACATATTATAATAAGTTAATTATAATTTTAATTAATTTATTGAATTTTAGACCTAAAATTGAAGAAGCATTGGTGGCCATTCAAGAGATGAACAATGTGGATTACTTGAGAGATTTAAATGGATCAATAAAACCTGAATTTGTATTATCATTAGTATTGTATCATTTGGAAAAGAATTATCATTTCTCAGGTAATGGTGTTTGGAATACTGATCAGCAAAATAATACAACTCTAAAACTAAATGCTTCAAAAAATATTTTTGAGGAGACAGAAGAATTGGATCATGAACCATTAGTAAAATTAATTTAATTTTTTTAAAGTTGATTAAAATGTGTTTTGTCTATAAGTAATTTTATTACAGATTTATACTACTAGTAAATATACTTTTTACATTTTCGTAACTATTGAATGTTGTGATAATGTTAAAATAAGTGTTAGTGATGTTTCATGTTGTGATATGTTAGTATACATTATCATGTATACCAAATTTAGTACGAGGATTTTTTCACAATTAGTTTTTTTTAGTGTTTATTTATAACTGATTGTAATAAACCAATTTTTATCAATAACCATAATGAAAAAAAAAAAAATTATTGTATTATTTTGATCTTAGTAATTTTTATAGCAAAAAAATTAACATTCAAATTTAAATTTGTTTCAATAATTTTTATTATTACATCATAATAATATATATCATATTCGTTGCACATTAAAATATTTATATTATTTACATTAAGTCACTGAGAAACCTGTGTTTTTGTGTATGCTTGATATGTATATTTCAAGTATCTATATTGAGGCATATTGCTTAATATTGCAAGAAAAAATTGTAATTTATAATTAAACTGTGGATTATATACAGTGAAAAAATTATATTATATGTATTCAATTATGTAGCAAATTCATTAAGACTGAAATATGTACAGATTATGCTAAAATATGCACTAAAAATGAAATAAAAAATAGTAATAAATTTAAGATGATGAAATTTATTAATAAAAAAATATAATTATTTATACTATATTTAGAATATTTATTTAGAACGATAGCTCTCGCAGAAGTATATTAATTAAATCTTTCGGTTCATTGTTAAACTATGGTGCTTGTCATCCAAAATATGTTTAAATTCAGAAGACGACCGTTCAACAACGAATTGTGTATTAGGTAAATTCCTTGATTCAAGAAGGAAGTATTCTTACACATTTTATCAGTGTATTATTTATAGCGCATATTTTAGAGTTTTTAAGTGCATATTTACGAGCTAAAAATTAACATTTTTAGTGCTACAACTTCTGATCCCTGATAATAAAAATAGAAGTACAACGAGGCAAAATAAATAGTAATTCATTTTATTCTTTTAGAATGAATTGAATGTAATTATTGAATGTAATGTATTAGAATGTATTCTATATTAAAATTGCATCCTATGTCTAATACATGATATTTTTTACAAATAAGTATATCATTATTCTTACCATTAATATTTTATAGACTACCAGTATCTGATAACATGATCACAAAATACAAATGAGAACTGATCGTATTTTTCTTGTTAAATATCTAATTATGTGGTTCGTATAATACGAATATATAATAATTGTGACGTTATCGTTGACCGTCATGAATGTATGTTATTTTTGTTTAACTTTTGGTTAACGTTTGGTTGTTTAACTAACTAAACTAACTAACTGGTTTAAGCCGTTTATGGTTTTACATCGTGCTCGTTGTGATGAAGAATAAAACGATCATATAATGAACATTAGAATTATAATAATAATAATGTTTCTAATAACAATTTATTTAAGGGGTGAACCGTTAAACTATAATAATAATTTTACATAGTGCTAAGACACTAAGTAAAAATAAATTTAAGTTCTTTAACGTTAAAAACCCTATGGATTTCACCTTGAAAAAATGTACACCACTGCAAATTAGAAGGGGGCACCGAGAAAGTCTTGGTATCCCGGTGGGTCTATCCGCCCCTGTAGATAGGTTAGGTATATGAAAGGAATTAAGAAAAATCCTATAGGTAGTACGATTGAACAGTTATATACATATAAATATATGTATTATTTAGTAAGGGGAGGGGTGGGTCATTATTTAAATTATTTGCTTAGGGTTTGAAATATGCTTGCCACGCCACTGGTGGTGGTAACTGTACCCAACACCATTGTTTAGTAGCTGTGTATCCAATGACTAGGTAATGCTCTAAGACTATTGAATAGAATTATACTTACTGAAATAAAAACACTACACAGGTGATCCACACGAAGATATTGATTGTAAATTGAGTATAAATAACCGTAAAAGTTGAGTCTCTAATGAAAACCTACTTTTTTTCATCATACTCACATCTTAACTAAAATGTAACAGATGAAACAAAACTAATCTTACTCTTATTAGTACGTATAGGTACTTGTATAGTTAAAAATATGGAATTTATTTTGTTTTTCTAAGATTATCTTATATTATTGTAACGGAAAGAAGATAGTTGTACGACAGTTGTCTTATCAGCACTTTGATCATATTACAAAATTGCAGTTATAATAACTTTTAAAAATAAAATTGAATTTCAAGTGACACGACGAGACGAGGCATGCCGTTAGTGTTATGATTTTAAATTATAATCAATTAATAATTTAATTAACTAATGGTTCAGTGCTTTTTTGGAAGATTTGACTATAACTTAATTGCTTTATTTTAAGTGTTTTTCTTTAGTTTTTTTTTATTGTTTCAAGATACGTACTCTAATTATGAGATTGATACTCAACGGCAGACAAACTTCATGACTTAAGTGATCGGCGTTAGTCTTACCGTTTTAGTTTTTGCAAAAAAATGGTTAAGCTTACCTCTAACTTCTCGGAGGAGGGGGGCAAATGCCCTTGTTGCCCCCTCACAGGTATGCCACTGGAGGTTGGCAAGCGGTACTATAGCACCGAGCCCCGCACTTGTATGAGGCACCACAGATTATATATTACGAATATCACTTTATCTATGAATAAAAACAATATGGTTCCAGTACACAAATCGCAACCCGTGTGATCATGTGGTTTCTCTAGAAACGAGTTGTTATCGATGAAAATTAAGACGGTACTATGGTTAATTGAAATTACGTGTAGCTTTGAGGTATTGTACGCACATATACTTGTACAATTGTTTATCGCCGACGACGTGTCTAAATATAATTATTTTATAGTATACATTTAGTTAGGTTTCATAATAACACCAACATACGTAGATTTCTATCAGGAGCGTATCCAGGAATTTTTTATGGGGGGGGGGGGTTCAACATTTTTATTTTACCTGTTCTCCAATTATAATTATAGCTTAACTCAATACCAACAAATTACTGTTATTATACTATTGTATGGTTTATACATAATAGGTATATAATCCATAAACTTTGTATATTGAAGTTAACGGGAAATTAAAATACACTATATACTATTATTATACTATTTACTATCAAACCATTGAGTATGTAGAAATTACAATGGAGGGGTCCGGACCCAATTACCCCCCTCCCCCTTGTGTACGCCCTTGATTTTTATACACAATTAATGAATTAAAAAAATTAATATATATAAGAGGCCCCGCAAAACTCTGCACCGGGCCCCTAAAACCGTGGGGCCTGCACTGCGAGGAGTGTTGCGCTCCCCGATGACGGTCAGCGAGCATTTTTTTTTTTTTTTTTTTTTTTTTTTGTTGTTTTTTATCGTCCCAATTTCGAGCAGTCCGAGAACAGTCGCCGGCGGTCCAATCGGACGGTCAACTTTTCGGGTTTCCCCACGAGAGCCATTCGTCGCTGTCGCCCGCGCGCGGTTAAATATCGTTTCAAATATTGTTATCTCCGACCGGTGACCACTCAGTGACCGTTTACTATACACGGCACGCATCGGCGCGTAATAAATTCTTACGGTTACGCGGGCGGCACGTACAAACCGATGGGTCATCGGCTATTAGTTTTTTTTTTCTTTCTATTGTTTTGGTGTGCTTTTTTTTTTGTTTAAAATGAATAATAAATCGAACGCTATAACAAATGTTAAGTTTTATTTATTTATTTATTATTTATGAGTGTTTTTATTTTGTAAACCACAAATCGTTCCATAAGGTACAGGAAAAAAATTAATATATTTTGAAACACGTTTAACAGTGTAGGTCACGTATAAATTACAGCAGACCGGTAAAATTGTATGTTCACAATAATATTTTTATCATTATTAAATAGCAGTTCTTTCTACGTGATAGAACATAAAATGTACAAACGAATCATTCAACATAATTTTGAGTATATTTCGATTAAAATTATTAAATTATTTAATGGAATATTTAATTTCTGATAGTTTTAAAATACATAATAATACAGAGTTTTTGAATTTTTCAAAATAAAAATTCATTAACAATATTCCTAGAAATCATAACAGTATTATAGATGGATAAAATTCTATTACAAATATATTATTATAGTAAAAAACAATTGCTTTTGAAAAAATCATTTAGAATTTCAAAATTGAAAATGATTAAACATTTCGATAACAAAGTGTATAAGTTTACAATATGATTTGTCTAATATTTTAATAAATATGTGAGTTTAAATATTCAATGTGAGTTATATATTTTTCTTAAAATAAATCTAAAAAAAAATATTTTTTTGATTTATTTACATCAAGATACATTAATCATAATTTTTTAGTCGTTAACAATAATACTTTCTTTTAAAATGATTTAAATTCAACGTAATCTATAGTATACATATTTAATTGTTAAAAAAAAATACAATAAAAAGTGTTGAACTACAGATAGCTAAACAAATGCATAGGTAGGAAAAATTATCATCAATGACACTAAATTAATAAATTTACAAGTTGAAGACATACAATTTTTTTTCATTAAATCTCATATCATATAATAGATATTGTTAATAATTAAAAGATAATATCTTACAGTACATTTCACCATAAATACTTATTTTATTTTTAAAAACGTTCCTTTATTTCAAGGTATTCATATGAATTTCATCAATGTTAATTACTATTATATTATTTACATACGTTTTTTTTTTATACCTAAAAATAAAGCAGAGTAATTCACTCACAAATATATGATTTAACAAAACAGACATCGTTAAAACTACATTTAAATAGAAGTTATCCTCTTAATATAAGTTTAAATTACAAAAAAATGTTTGAACATTTAATATCCAACTATTTTGGTTATTTAAAATGTCCATACTCAATAATTTATAATTATAATTAAATATATTTAGTTACTAACGAGTGCCAAGCTTAAATACTTAGTTGTTCGAAGTAAATATAAATTTTAATTTCATTCAAAAAAATTGTACCTAATAATTTGTTTGTGATCTCTGATGATGAACAAAAATTAAATCTTCCGTCTAGAGTTTCAATGAAATTATTACTTTTACCACGATTATGTTACCTGGGTTCTCATCAAATTTTATAATTATATATATTTTATAAATATAATTAAAGATTAACATTTTTTTATACTAATTATA